AGTTGTCCATGCTCGATGTCTCGAGACGCCCGGACTTGTGACAAGCATGGGCAAGCATCCTCAGGATGGTGGAATTGTGATTTTTACAGTGGCGGTCTAAAATTCCATCTAAAGGCTCAGCGATCACAATAGTCAGTGGGACCAAGGAATGCCCCTCGCAAGTTGACTAAATAACACTGCATACCTTGACCGAACATCAATCGTGCCGTGGTCAAAATGGCCTATGCTGATAGCCATGATGGTTAAAATTGTTGTCCATAATACTTGTTCATCATGGCTACCAATGGGTAGATAATCACTTACCCTTTGTTTGGTGGGTTCCATCAACATTTGTGAGACAAGCCCATGTGCGTGTGATCTTAGATTGAATACCATGCCGTACAGTGCTGTCATGGCCATGGCTCCCACAGGTACGTAGCAAATGCTTGCAACAATTCTCTATATAAAGGATTCATGGCCATTCCTAGTGAACCATAACTGGGTGGGCACATTCTGAGCCGTGCGTGTGCCAGTTTGCAGGGCTCCCTACATTTTCTTTGCAACACCCCCCTACAAGTACCAAGGGAAGCTCGCCTTAATCAGAACCTCGCATGGCTGTTGAATGGTTGCTAAGTGACCTCCTTTGTGCTATTTCGGTGACTGCCATTTGAGGGGGGGGGGCGCTGGACATGGGCCAAGAAGGTGATGTTTCAAACCCACAAAGGAACCCAACAGCAAAACCACATCTTTTTCCGGAGGGGGAGGCTAACAAACACACACACACACACAAACACCCCCATGTTTCAATCCCACAAGAGACATAATGAGACATACAGAGACATACAGTAAACCCCCCCTTCCTCCCCCGCCACGCCCCTCCCCACGCCTCCCCCCTCGCCCCCTATCCTTACGCCAAACCGCCGCATCCAGGGCGTTGACATCCGACTTGGCGTCCACGAGGCGCTGCACCTCCGCCAGGTCGCCTCGAGGAGTCCGACTCGCGGCTCGTCGGCGGCTGGGTGGTGTCGTTTGTGGAGAAAATTCCTGTGTTTTGGTGGTGGGTGTGTCTCTTTGTTGATACTTGTGCCGGTTTTTGGAGGGTATTCCTGATACATTTGGTGTTGTTTTTGCATATTTTCCGGTGTTTTGGTGGCATTGTTTGAGGGTATTCCCTGTGTTTGGGTGGTTTTGAAAGGAAACCAACAGGAAAACCACCATGGTTCTCATCAAACAATAAGACTTGGAATGACCCCTACAAAAACTATCCCGTATGGTTTCCTTCGCGGAAACTGGTCCAAGCCAGGAATCCCCAGTCAGGTCCCATGGATGTTCGTGGAGGTCCCATGATGTTGGTGGCCCCCCCCAATCTGAGTTGACTGCCCTGGCCAAGCAAAGCCAAGGCGCCAATGCGCGCGGCAAAAGCCAAGGGCGACGCTTGCGAGACTGGAGCTTCCTGCCCGGGACATGGCAAGTGCGAGACCCAAAAACTCAAGAAAGGCACAGTAAGCGACATCATTCAACTACATGGGATCTGTGACCACTAACCGTTTTTGAGAGATGCCTAGTCAAATTCAGTTGCCTAAGTAGCGTAGGACATAGCCCGCTCTGTGATGTTCAAGTGCTGGTCAAATCTGGTCAAGCATGCTGAAAAGGAACTTTTCCTCCAATGGCCCCCCCTTAATTTCACCCCGCGCTCTTGTGGGGAAGTTTTGGAAACTGGGATCCTCACCCTACTTGTCACTCGGAGGGCTTATTGAAGGGTATTGCAGCAAGCGCCCTGGAGCTGAAAACGATCTCCGTCCTCTGGTTTTATACTTGTGGGCCCCTGCTTAGACAGGCACAGCGCCTCTTGGCGCATTTGGGTTGAACATCTCAAAGACAGAGGACCTCATTCAACAAGGGTTCTTTACACATCACGGAATCCCAAGGCGAAATCCTCAGACCTCTTGTGGGGGGAAAAACAAGTGCCTGCTTTATGTTGGGCAGCTGTTTTTACAGGAGCCCCCCCCACCATCCAACAGAAAAGGGATAAGTAAGCAATCCAAGGGGCGGGGAATGCATGCAAAATATGCCCTCCTTCATCACCCAAGAGAAAAAAAACATTCCAGTCAGGTGATGTTTCAACCAGCTGATGGAAAAATGGAGAGACCCCTCCCCCCCTTTTGGCGCAAGGGGAAATGAACAATAACCAGGCTCCTTGGTTTTGAAGGTGACTCCTCGAGAAATACCCCAAAATGCTTGGTTTCAATTGTTGATTGGGATTGATGGTTTGATTTGGGATGTGTCCAATTTACCCTCTGCAAGAAACAAGGGTTCAGATCCCCGAACCACCAATCCAGCCACCAAGTATGGGCTGACTAAAGCCGACAAATTGCCAAACAAATCAGGCCAACGGAAAGCTCGCCAGAAACCAACGGGCAGGAAGCGGGGTTACCTGAAGACTCCCTGCAATCGCCACACAAACGCATCGCGATGCGTCGCTACGCGGTTCCTCGGCGGTCTTCACCGGCTTCTTCTCCCGCGGCTGCGACACGTAGCCCGCGGACTCCGCCACGCTGGAGAACATGCCCTACCGCAAATGTTCTTCCGCGGCTTCCCGTTTGCCCGCCTTTAAACCCAAGGACCTGGAAAAACGTAGGCTTGGATTTCCTGTGTTGGCTTTGGAAGTTAATAGCGTGTTTGCAGGTCGCCCAGTAATCATATGTTTTTGGATGGGCCCCTAGCACTGGAACTAGCACCGCACCACGCGTCACTCCCTAAGCACCTAAAAAGCCGTAAAAAGCACCGCTCCATACATCGCTCTGCGCAGAGTCTTGGGTGTTTGTTTCTTTGTTTGCTTGCTTGCTTGCCTGCGTGCCAGCCAGCCAGCCAGCCAGCCAGCTTGCTTCTTTGTTCGCGTTGATTTGCTTGTTGGTTGATTTCGCTTGTCTGTCCGTGTGTGGTTTCCTTATGCCAGGAAGATTGGACCGCGCAACCCGTTTTAATTCTTGTAGGAGGTGATTAACAAGGATGCCATTTAAAGCGAGCAGGTATACGTAGACAGTATGTGCATGCATAACTTCCCGATGTGAACATGTTGCGCCCTTGTATTAACATGTGCTGATGAATGAATGAATGAATGAATGAATGAATGAATGAATGAATGAATGAATGAATGAATGAATGAATGAATGAATGAATGAATGAATGAATGAATGAATGAATGAATGAATGAATGAATGAATGAATGAATGAATGAATGAATGAATGAATGAATGAATGAATGAATGAATGCAATGCATGCATGCATGCATGCATGCATGCATGCATGCATGCATGCATGCATGCATGCATGCATGCATGCATGCATGAATGAGAGAGTGAGTGAGTGAGTGAGTGAGTGAGTGAGTGAGCGAGTGAGTGAATGAATGACTGACTGACTGACTGACTGGCTGACTGGATGACTGGATGACTGACTCAATAAATAAATGAATGAGTGAGTGAGTGAGTGAGTGAGTGAGTGAGTGAATGAATGAATGAATGAATGAATGAATGAATGAATGAATGAATGAATGAATGAATGAACAAACAAAAGAACGAACAAAAGAAGGGATGAATGAACGAATGAACGAACAAACAAACGTGCGAACAAATGAATGAATTAATGAATGACTGACTGACTGACTGACTGACTGACTGAATGAATGAATTAATTATTGAATGAATTGATGGATGAATGAACGAACGAACGAACGAACAAATGAGTAGAATTGTGAACCAATAATGATGATATAACAACCGATGGACATCACGGAACGTTCACCTGTGAGCCGACATACTTACACAGCAACAAAAACACGTTCGGACGTGCCGCTTCCTGGCAAAAGCTTTCGAGAACCAGATTTCCCCAGGTTGCCATGAAAAGCAGGACATCCTTCTGGCAACGTTGGCTGAAGGCCTGGCATCTTGCATCTCTCCAAGCCCCGCATTGGCCGGCCCGGGGCCCCGGGCGCGCGGCATGGCTGCCCGCGCGCGCTCGCTGAGGCCCAAAGGCGAGGGCGGCTTCGCCCAGTGGCGTTGTTCGACTGGCAAACTGGCATTGGAACTTTCGGGGTGTCTAAAGGGCACATAAGAAACCCCTGATTTGCAGGCATGCAGGGCTGTACGTGCCATCGAAAACGAAGCGACGCAAGTTCAGGGCTTCCGACTTCAGGCTGAGATGCATTTCTGACGCTTGAGAGCTGGGTTTTCTAGGCTGGGCATTGGGTTGGCTAAAGCCGTGTGCTGAGCTAGGCATCTGGTGCTTGCCGGTTTTCTCAATCGAGATTCATGTAGAGAGCCACGGCCGGTTCTTGAAAGCAAAACATCTTGCAAACAAAACAAGTCTTAAGTGTCGCGCCGATATACTCATTCAAGTCCTCTACGTGCTGCATTATGTTGTTCCACTTCCCTATCATCATGTTATAAAGCTGGCCTACACTTGAGCCAGCATGGCTGAGAGATGCAGCGGCCTGAATGAATAATTAAACCTTTCTCATGGATTCCGCTGCCTGCAAACTAAATGGCATGTCTCCCAATGCTCAATGGGCAGCAGAGAAACCACTGCAATGCTCCCAGCATTGAAACCCTGAGACATCTCCATAATATCCATTTGCTTGTTTCTCTCAACCCTGATGGCAAACCACATCCGCGGCCACGCCCGTGAGCCCGCGTGCCGCAGCTCAAGCTCAAACAACCACAGTTTCCAAGCCAGACACATGGCTGTGGGTCAAACCCAATGGTACCATTTTGGGGTAGGTGAATTCACCGCCCATTTTAGAACCTATTTTAGTGGTTGGACTGGGATGTTCACTGGGGGTACGATTTGGATTTTGACCCGCGGCCACATGAACATACATGAACAAAACCAGAACAAAACCAGAACAAAACCATAAGCCAAACCAACGAAGCAACCCTTTGGCTTATCAAAGCAACAAAGCAACAAAGGACCTCAGCCATCAAACCAACACACCAACAAACCGACCGCGGCCTCAGGCCCAGGCCCCCTCGTGGACTTGCCTGGCCGGCGCTGAAGGAGCCCCCCCCTAAAAAAAAGGAGGTGTGTGCTTCCTTTTGGTGTCCATGGAGGAAAAAAAAACTGGCAAACTGGGTACCCTCCAAAAAAGAACACGCTCGTAGCATTGCTGCACTGCATGCCCCTTTTAGGGAATGCCGACCGCGCATTCGAGGGTTGAACCTGGGTGCCCACAAGAGGCCCAGGTGCTGGCAAGCACCCTTTGAATCAGCCAGGGGTTGACAAACCTGCCCCTTCGGGACGAAACCTCCAGAGGTTCCCGCGCGAGGCGCCACACAGTCGGTTTTACAAGCTTGGGCCACAAGTCGCCAGGGAGTGGAAGCAGTTCGGGGAGGGCTGGTTCTGGGGTGCTTTCACTTCGACGCTTTTTCGCGCTTTCTCACCTCGAACTCGAGAACAGGCCGGAGCTGCATTCGAGGCACCTCCTCAGCCTCGTCCATGCGGGTGAGCAGCCTCACCACCTGGGCCACTGGGCAGCAAGCGCTAAAGTGATCCGCTGAGCCAACGACCAGAATTATGGGCTGGTCTTTAGTTTGCAGGGCATACCGCAGCGCCTTCCCGATTTGCCGACGGCGTTCTTTGTTCTCCCAGGTGTAAACCTACGGTTGGTTGAACATCCGTGCCACCTGCATAAGCTTGCGGCAAGCAAAGCAGCCCAATGTGATAAGCAAAAAGACAACCCAGGAATCCGTCCTGTACTCAAGTGTGGGAACCCCTCAAAACAAATCCATCTGAATATCCTACAATAAAACCCCAAAGCCCGAAATAAGATTTGGATCCCTGGTCCACGCGTACAGATCCCCAAGTGAAGAGACTGTATCACGGTGAGCTCGGCCCTGAGATCGGGGGATCGACCCACTTTGCTGCCAGGCTGCGTGGCTCTTGCTGCGCCCTAGCCGGCACCAGGCTTCAACTGTTGGAACCCCGTTACAGGGCTGTGTCCCTTTGGTTTCACTTGACCCTGCGACAACAAGGGCCTGTTTGAGGTCCAAACCAATCCAAAGATCCAGACTCCTCCGCTGGAGGGCCCAACAATGCTCAGGGAAAAACCAACATCCCAAAAAGGGACAGAAGGGGTCGTCATGGGGGCTGAGTTTTTTCAGATTCCTGGGGGCTGAGTGTTTCAGATTCCTGGGGGCTGAGTTTTTTTCAGCAAAAAAAACCAAAAAACACAGCCCATCATCTGCATCTGCTAATTCAGGGCTTTGTTTTTGGGTTTTTTGTTTTTTGGTGCCTTTGCTCATAAACACCAAGAAAACCAAAAAACAACAAACACAGCCCATCATCTGAAGACAATACTTTGTTGATGCTTTCTTGATGCAAGCTTTCTTGATGCAAGACATCAATAATATGATGAGATGTGTATCAACAGAACATAAGCCTCTTCCAAGATATTCTGCAGGTAACTCCAGGTAACTGGAGATAATTTATCTCATCTCCCAGTTCATCTTCTGCAGGTAACATCTCATCACAAGCAATTGCTTGTGGCTTGGGTCTACTTGAATCTATTCTGAACAGCTTTACTGTTGCAAGAGCTCTTCAGCAACACGAATAGCTGCAGAGAATCTTATTCCAAAGCTCTTATTCCAAAGCTGAACAGCTTTATGCAGAGAATGTTATTTGCATCTGCAGATGTCGTTGCATCTTGTGCTTCTTGAGCTCAAGCAACTAGATTGGAGCTGTGCTCCAATTGCTCCAGCTCATTGTGCGATAAATATGTTTGTGTTAGCTGTCTGTTCTCAAGAGCTTGAAATATTGAGCATCCAACTGTAAAAAGAGCTGAGTCTTGCAGCTGAAAGCTGCATAGATCAGCGATATCTTACGTTTCTTATGATTTCATATGCATGGCAAGCTGTGCTTGCCATACTTACGTGTTTCAGAATTGCAACACAACAATAATATTTGCCCCAAACATACATCTGCTTGCAAATTGCTAAGCATACGTCTTCCAAAAAATTGCATACGTATGCAAATTGTGTTGAAGATTTGTGCCAAACATACGTCTTCCAAAAGTGAGCACCCTGAGGTTTATAAACTTGGCATGCGTAAGCATGCTAATTATCCAAAAACAAGCTACAAACACACGTTTGCTAAATATTTGTGTCCAACAATGATATTTGTGCAAAATAGTTCTCAACAGGCTGTCTTCTTTGTAGCTTGAAGCTAGCTCATTTTCCAGGTCTGGATGCATCTGAGTCTTCATTGGATCGAAAATGAATCTGTGCTTGCATGTCATCAGCCAACAAAAAAAAACGCACCCCAATAAATCTAAGAGGTCACGGGTCTTGATCTTATACTTTTTGTATTTGTTTAGTGTTTTTAATGGAACAACTCAGCCCCCAAGAATCTGAAAAACTCAGCCCCCATGCCGACCCGACCTCAAAAGGGAACCCTCAAAACATGCAACACCCTCCCCCACCGCACAACAACGTCGGAGCAATCTGGAAGACCATGCGAAGCCGGGGTGGTTTCCGAGGGCTCAATATTCCTTTGTGGAATATATTGTCCTCCTCGTTAAAGTCCAAAGTCCAACGTTGAGTTGTTTTCGAATTGGTTCCTTTGGTCTCCCTTCCTTTCTTTTTTGGGCTCCCTTTTGGTTTCAATTTTGGTTTCCCTTCAACACCCCAAACAAAGGACCCTCCAAAACGCCACACCTAGCATAGTGGCAATGTGCAAAGTACAACTTCAATAGTCTGATGTCACCCTCCGAAGTCTTTGCCTTGGCGAGCGGTTACTCCATTTGTTTGCGGTTGCTTACGGGAAGAGAGCAAAAACAGGCCATTTGATGGGAGCCCGTGTTGAAACGAAACCAGCTATCACCTAGAAAGCTGTCCCAGTTCTGACCCACGCCAAGGCGGCCTTTATCGGCTTTATCCACCCCCTTTTTGGCTTTGCATTGAGAAGCTGAAAGCCATGGGCTATTCACCACCCAGTCGGCTTGTCCCCGAGGCCCAAACCTCCCCGCCCCTGCCTCCCCAAGCTTGCCAGGCACTTGGGGCCTATGGCGTGTCCAAACGAGCGGCGCATTCCCTCCGATCTCCATTTCCTGCTCACTTGCGATCCATCCCTGAAAGCCAACCGTCCATTCGTTTCAAGGGAACCAAAAGAGGACGGCTAACTCGCCTTGGCATTTTCCCAAAAGTCCGCTGCCCCTCTTGGCTTCGGGTTGCAAAAACGTGTCTGAAGCAGCTTGACAGGCAGTTGAGCATGGGAAGCCTCCCTACCCCTGAAGTCAGGGCCGCCTTTGAGGCTACGCGCATCGCCCGCATGGCACGCATTGCGCGGGGATGGCTGCCTCTCCTCTCGCTGAAACTCATGTACCTCTAGCTGGAATCAAATATGCGTTGGTTTTGAACACCCCCCTTAGAATACATGCCTTGCAAGACAAAGCAGCCAAGGAAAACAAGGGAAAGCTGTGGAGGGCCCATTCTTGCCGCAGACTCCACTGGTAGACTCCACTGGTTAGGCTTTGACATCAAAGTCTTCGAACCCCAACATGGAAGCAGGGGAAATTCGCCAATCTCTATCTGGGATATTCTAGCGCCAAGCGTTCATGCATCTTTCAGTTTGTGAGTCGAACTCAAAACCTGGTATCAAAAAGTGACCGCGCACTGTGCGTGGTTGGGATTGTCTGACTGTCGCCTTCCGTCTCCATAGCTTGAGCAAGTGCATGGCTTGCTGTCACCCGCCCCCCCCACCGCAGTTCAACTCGTGACCATGACAGGATAAATATTCGGGTGAACTATAATATTTCTTTGGTCGTTAAGTCGTTTTTTTTGCCAAAGGTGGATCTGGAATAACTTAGGTCGTGCCATTGCTGCGCCTCAACAGGGCAACCTCTGAAACCGCAAAAGGGCTCCAGGTGGCAACTCCTTGAATACCCCGTATTCAAGAGGTACGCACGCAACTTGCATTCCACAACGCGGCTCCACGGAGAGGGGGCGGGGGGTCCAGCCCCCTAAATACTGCGTCTTTAAGCAACGGGTGTGGGTGGCATGACACGACATGATTTCTCCCAGACCTTTTCATTTCAGCATTGCTAAGTCGAATTCACAGTGAGGTCGGGTGACCTCGCAATAATTTATCCAGATGAACATTGAATTCAACTACTGGCTTGCCACCAAATCGAAGGGGATAGTCGATGGGGGGGCTCTTCCATTCTTGAGTTTTCCGGCAGGAAAAGGCATCCCAGAGCTCAGCCCCTTCCTCAATTCCAGATCTGGGGCGCGGGACAATTGTGGAAGGATGTGTGTTTGGCATGTCGCCTATTTTGCACCTGTGCAAGCCCATGAAAAAGAGCATCAAATCATGCAGGCCTGAAATGGGCACCAGAACACGGAAGCAACATGCGTCGTGATGCGGCTATGCGCCGCCACAAAAAACCAACTGGCGAATTTGAATGGCCACAGTTGGCTCTTTCTGTTTTTAGGGGGAAGCCAAGAGTCAGACTCTATCTCACCAATTAGTGCATGATTTCCACGGGCATTCAGAAGTTCAGGGTTCCTTTTCTGTGCCCTTTAAAGACGAGGTTTGAGATCACCCTCAACAAAATATGGGATCCTGAGGCTGTCCAGTCACTCGTGCACCGCACTCTTAAACCTCGCAAACCGGGGCCGAGAGCAAAATGGCGGTTCTGAAGACAGCCTTTGTTCCCATTTCAAGTCAAGCGCAGAGGTGCGTTTGGAAAAATAGATGGCCCGGGTAAATGGAATGAAACCCATCTAAACCAGTGCAATCTATTTTGAGCCAAACTAACCTAAAAAGGACACCTATGGTCAAGCTACTGCGCACCTTTTCAACCCAGATCCGCGTCCGCGCACTTGGCAGCAAGAGGCAAGCGAGGCACTTTGCAGCCTGGCTCGTTGGACAGCCTGGGCTCTCAACCTTGTAAGATCCAACAAAGGGATTTGGCCGTGATGAAGCCTTGTTCAAGGCATAATTTGGATGAAATCAGTGGTGGGAGCCGGGGAGGGGGCGGGGGATAACTGGATCCTATGAACATGCTCCTTTGACCCTATTCAGCCTATGGACGGCCCAAAATCGCAGGTAACAGGAACCAAGGACCCAGGAAGGTGTGCCATAGAGTGGATCCTCCCCGGATCTTTCGGGGGAAACACTCAAATCACCGCAATGAATCAAATAACCGACCAGGTTGTGCTGCTTCAACCCCCCCTCCTTTCCCTGTTCTCTCAGGCCTTGTTGATGCCTTACTTGGAGGAAACGAAGGGAGAGGAGAGGGGATTGCCGTGCCAGCCTCGGGTGTCCGGCGGGCAACCCCATGCTTAAAAGAAAGGTTTTGTGAATCGAGGTGGATCACAGGGCTTCCCTTGTTCCCTTCAAGTGAGTTTGTCAACTCCGATAGATTCTTGGCTGGTGTCTCAAGCTGACTGCAGTACCAAATGAGCAATGCATGAAGAAATAGTGGCTTGCTGGTGGAATCCGATTTTGAAGCACAGCTGCCCCCGACGGCGAACTTTGTTTTGGCCGCCAGAAGGTCCCAAAGCAAATCTCATTGGATTTGTCTGCGCGCGCGTCAGGCGCACTTATGGCTCCTTCCGGATGTTCACAGCACACAGCTGCCCCTCGATCATGCTGTGATCCTGGGGTTCGAGGCCAGGCCTTTTGGACCAAATCCGGTTTCGGGTTCTTTTCAAGGGACACCGAGAGGAAGCCACCTTTTTGGGGGGTGTCCCCCTAGTTTAAGGCGGACCCATCCAAGTTCTCATCACCCTTGCCCTTGAAGTTCTTTGGGCTTAGCATCTTTTCATCTTTGAGCTTCCCAACATGTCGTCATGGCATCCTGTCGCGGCGGTTCACGCAAGGCAGCCCCTCTTCATTTGGACTGAGTCGATATCAAGCTTTGGCACATCACATGCTGGAAATGACCAAAACAGCAAATCTGAGACCCGCACAAAAAGAAGACATATAATTAAGGGGATGTTTCCAAAGGTGAACTGTCGCACATCCCGAAATCCGAAACATCCCGAACAAAAGCATACCTGCGACCCGCACCCCGGAAATCCGGGAATCCGCTGGGACCCTTCAACCCGCTCCTCCCGGTACCGCACTTTGTCGCCCACGCAAACCTCTCCGCCGTCCAAGCCGCTGACAGCGAAGAAGGCCTCTGAGCCCTAGGCGAGTGGTGTGGAGGTCTGTGGAGGTCAGGGGGGTGGCTTCCGAACTAAACTTCCCTCCAAACTGAGCGGCTTTTGGTGGTTTGGTGTTGGTTGGATTGGCGGTTTCCCAGTTGCCCTCCACAAAATGTGGGGGTTGGGGGGCTCAAATCCCCCAGCCGCAAAATCCAAACTGCCAACCAGGGGTAGCCTGACAATTATCGCAAAGTGAGCAACAACCAGTCAGCACATGCAAGGGGTAAGAGGGCACCTGGGGAAATGCCCACAAAGCAAGCGGCTTCCATGGAGGAGTTGTCCCAAGGGAGGCCATGGACACAGCATCTCAATTGGCAATCTGAAATCTTGGATAGGGGGAGATCCCTAGCTCAAGCAAACTACCATCCGGCATCATCACTAAGGATTGGTTTTGAACAACCCAACTCCACCTTGCAATGAATCCCCACCTAATTCTTGCTTGTCTATTTGGCACCCAGAGCTTTGACGGGTCTAAGATGGTGTGAACGGCAGCCTGAGGACACCCCACGCAGAGCATGCCTTCTCGTCGCGCAGCACGCCGTAGCCCTTCTCAGTGTTGAAAATGATCACCTTGCAAGGGGCGTGCGAAGCATCACGAATCACATAAACATCATATGCATACATGCTCGCGTGCACAATGCACGTGCTGTGCCAATTTCAGATGAGTGGCTGGCGCAAAACCGCCTGCTTTGCTCGTTGCAAGTACCTTCCTCTCCATCACAAGGGTGACCTGCAAACCAAAGTTTAAAAAGCAGGGTTATGGAATTGCCGCTCCACTTTTGTGTTGCCACTGGAAGGCATCCCCAATGCCACTCAAAGGAGGTTCCTTGGCACAGGAGAAACAAGAAATTTTGGTCTCCCCCTCATTCCCGCCGCCGGAAAAAGAGCGCCAGCCCAGCCCAGCCCAGCACCTCCCCAGTGACTTCGGCAGCTTTGGCCGTGTCCGCAGCGCCTGGCGGATGAGCGGCTCCAAGCCAAACATGGGGAGATTGGCACTGTGGACAAAACCCATTTCGCACCACGAAATGAAACCATGGTTGAAACGATTGTTTGTTGGTATTTACCGGCATTTACAGGGGAACCATCATTCCACAGGGTGCAGGATTTCGACCATCCACTCTATGCACCCCCTGTCCCTTCAATGCACCCTTGCATCACCAGCTCGAAGTTGGCATGCTACCCCCATGAGATACAAGGGGATGCTGCCCCTGTGAGAGATACAAGGGGCTCATACCAATGGCCCACACAACTTTTCCTTGAGACGTGGGTTCTTAAAACAGGGGACACCTTTCCTGCGGTGTGCCGTGATTTTCCCTTAACATGAGCCCAGAAGGTCCATACAGGGGGCCAAATCATTAGAATGGGGGTGGGAGTGGGGCACAATAAACACAGTTTAATGCCAAAACCATGCAACAAAACACAAGAAAGGTAAATTCTCAGTCAGCCCCTTCTATCTAGGTCCTCCAGTATATATAGAGAGGTTAGAATAAGCGTACCCTTCTATTTTTAGTAGGGGAACCCTCCCAACCAAAAAAGAAACGGTAAAAGGGCACCTAGCTGGGGGGCCTAGCTTCTATCCTCAAAAACAGAAAACGCGGCGCCCGGATTGTTGTGGTGAACATAGGCGTCCTTTTGAAAAATCTAGATGGCCCAAGTACATGGAATAAAACCCTTCTAAAAACCGGTGCCTTCTATTTTTGACCACGCTAACCCGAAAAGGACACCTATGGTGGCGAATCGCTTCACGGCGCGCCTATGAGGAAGCCGCCGTCCTGGAAGCTGCCGTCAAGCCCGGCGCAGGCGTCTCGCAGGGCCTCCTTGGCCGTGTCGTCCAACGGCGCCTTCCTCGGCCGATCAAACCGCCAATCGAACCCCAGCTGGACGTCTAACCCTCCATTGAGCCCCCTGGAAAAAAAACGCGTCCAGTATTGGTTGGTTGCCTTGAAAACCAACAAACAAAGGAAAATCAAACACATCATTCAGCAAATGGAAGTAACCTTGTAGTAGAAATTACCCCAAGGCTATGGGCATGTGTCAGAACATCCCCCTTCGGCCCTTCCATTTGATATCTGGCGAGCGTCTCCAGGCGTCTCAGCTCTTCTCTCAGTCCATCCCCCGGCTCTGCCTTCAGATTGGAGTCCAAAGCCGGCGCTTTGGATTCGGCGGAGTCTGCTTCCTCTCGTGCAGCTGGAAGCTCTCGCCGGGGGCACGCCAAACGAAGGCCCATGGCGGCAAGGTCCTCGCTAGGGCAACCCCCTGCACAAAGCTATGACTTTTTGCTGGAACAAGGAAATGCTAAGGAACCCCCAAAGCGCAAAAGGGCAAAAAGGGTTTTACTTGAACCTGGCAATCCGTGAAAGCGCTCCAAGCGGATCACTCAGTCTGGCAAATGTGTTTCAGGGTTTGTCATCGCTGTAGTAAACCTGAACAAAACCAAACATCAAGCATGCAAGGATGTTGGTCATGTGCACTCTTTGATTTTGCAATACCCGATTTGATTGACACGTAACACATGGTGACATGGTTGGAGTTTGGGCAGACTGGACTGAATGGTATCTGTGAAGAAGCCGAAGGTGTGCGTGTTTTGCTTTTGCGTTCTACACAATCACTCTCTGAAAGGACCAGCACGCCTCTCGCTTTTGGACCCAGTTGGGCTTGCTTGAGTTCTCATCGGTCCTTAAAGCACGGATGGCCATAGTCGCCCTCACTTACCCAGTTCAGTCATCACAACCCTCCCAAAGTAAGTCCCCGAAAGAGCCTCGCTCTATTCTGAGACGACGAGTCAACGAGGGGGAAGGCGCCGTGCAGCCAACGGAAACAAACCAACCTGCCACCTCCATTGAGACTCCAGGTGGCCGCACAAACGCCCCACCATTTTCGGTGCAAAGCCGGGTGGCATCTTTGTCCACAACCAGGGAGCTAGGGTGAGACCCCGCAAGCTGGCGAGCCAAAACATCCGAAACGAAGATGCTGTGGCCGATGCATTTGAGGTCAAGCCACCGGGGCTCACCAAACAGGAAAGTTGGAGGGCTTTTTCCGCCTCCTCACAAAGAGGGACAATGCAACCATTCAGACCGGGGCGCGGTTCGCCCCAGTTTCGCAGAAGCGCAACACTCAGGCTCGGCCGTTCAGAACCTGTATATGGCAAAGACCTGCAAACGGACACAGCAAATCTATCTCATGACGCTGGTCTTGTCCCCAGCTGGCAATGTGAGAACGACTCCGTTTTTTTCCGTGTATAGATGGACTCGACTATAGGGAATTCCCCGGGATGATTCACCGTTCCCTCCTCCGAGCAAGCGCCTGTCCTGGAACCCAAAACCTAGCCTTCCTATATTGCCCCTTCCAAACATCACCCCACCGGAAGGAAACTCACCATAGATTCGCCTTGCAACAGAGGTCTGTTTAACAAAATGGTAGTCTAGTAAAACCCTGCTGTGCACTGTCGTAACTGTTGGAAAGGGGATAGGCGGCCCTGCAACCGCTCAACCAAGCAACTGAAAGAACAGCTTGTTGAACACCCTTTGAAGCAACTACACAACCTCACCCCTTTCCCCTCCAAACTGCCCAGGGCAGATTGGTGAAAGAGTTTGCAAGCCAAATAGCCAAGAAGCAACACACACACATACAAACACCAAAAAAAACAAAAACGTTTGTCTACAGGCAAATGGCCAAGGCACGAAGCCACACATCCATCAACCGCAGAGCTGCGGTAAGCGAAGCGCAAGCGGTGAACGCGCCTCAAAGCTCGGACCCGGAGCCGGGCGTGGGGGAGTCGCTCAACGTGGCGTCCCCCAGCCAGGTGTCCAGCGGCACGCGGGTCACCTCCTCGGACCTCAATTGGCCCCAAAGGGAAACGGGGCATGGGGGCAGGTTGGGATTTGGGGCTGGGGGGGGTTTGGGGGTTGGGACGGAGGGTTGGGGGCATGGAGGGTTGGGGGGATGGTTGGGGGGATGGTTGGGGGGATGGGGGATTGGAGGGGGGGCGGGGTTCCTGAATGGATTGGTCAGAAAAGGTCCAACCTTCAAAGTCCAGGAACTCGGGAGGTTCCCCGACGCACGTGCGCGAATGTTCGTTTGGGGCATTTGACTCGCCCCAGCACTTGATTCATGATGGCCGAAATTCCAAACCATTGTGGGACAGATATTTTTGAGGTAGTGCCAAAGTAGTGCCAAATGGCCAACACATCGACGAACGTTTCGGGCGGGAGGAGGGGCGTGACAACTAAGTCTTGGAACAAAGTCTCCCACAAACAAACACGCCTATTTGTTCTTTTTGGAAGTATAATATTTTGTTTAAATATCGGGGCCCGAGGAAAATACCGCGAAATCTCGAAGTATTGCAAGTGACGTCATGTTTGCAGTGAGGTCATGGTCCGGACCCCCGCGCCCCCCACTTACGAGCCACTTGGCCTGAAACGGCTCCCTAAATAATACGGGTGTTCAAAACACGGGGACCCTTCCCCGCGTACTTGTTTTTGGGTGTTTGCTTTGTTGCCGTGCACAGCACAATCCTGCTGCCATGTAGTGGATTGAACAGGCTTTCACACACACAAACACAACACACATGCACATACACACATTCACACAGACACACAGACACACAGACACACAGACACACAGACGCACAGACACACAGACACAGACACAGACACAGACTCAGACACAGACACAGACCCAGACCCACACACCCACACACCCACACACCCACACACCCACACACCCACACACCCACACACCCACACACCCACACACCCACACACACACACACACCCACACACCCACACACACACACCCACACCCACACCCACACCCACACCCACACACACACACACACACAAGACCCGAAAACATGTGTATATATATATATATACTTGGTAGATTACACCCAGGAAGGCAACTGCAAAACTTGGTTGATTACACCTACGTACTTGCAACAGTGCGGAACCAGCCACCAATCAACCAACCAATCAACCAACCAACCAACCAACCAACCAACCAACCAACCCAACCAACCCAACCAACCCAACCAACCCAACCCACCCAACCAAAAGCCAACCAAAAACCAATTAGTAGTCAATTAAACAAACTACACACAACACTGATAATGATGATTATTAAAGATTATTATTAGTTTTATTTCAATAATCAAAACTCAACCCAACCCAACAAACCATGCTCACCCCCGCTTGGCCCGCCCACAACACGCATTCAGCCCGGGAGCGGAGACGCCGCCAAGCTCTGCATCTCCTCGTCCTCCACTGGACTGGCTCGGCCAAGCTTCCTGCGCGTGGCTTCTCGACTCGGGGCCTTTGGCGTGTGCCCGGTGCGGCCCCGTTTTCGGGGTATGAGACGAGCTGGCGGAGGAAAACACCGCAATTGCCTGCACTCAGTTGCCCAAAGGACCTGGGAATAAAAGGTTAACCTTTTGGGGGCATGACCAAATATGGACCAAAACCGGAAAACCAAAAGGTCAAAAGGTCGGCTTTGGGCAACTGAGTGCAACAACTCACCCAGCTTCTCTCGGATTCTGGGCTCCAGCAACTCGCTGGGAACATGCCGTGCGCCGCCCCAAGGGGAGGCTTGGACCTCAGCCCCAGTGATGCACATCCAAGTCGCCTTTGGGAAACAAATTTGGGCGTCACTGGTAAATGATGAGAACCAACTGAATCCTGGATCCATCCAACATGGAAAATTGCACAATCCCCATAGGGGGTAACTGAACCACCAGCTTTCCCCAGGCCCGCTCTGAAGCGCAGTTCCCGAGTGGACGGCCCAAAAATAGTCCGAACTTTTTGTATGCCACTACAACGGTCCAAACCCAAACAGTGACTAAAGTCCATAAACTCAGCAAGGTAACAGGGCTCCCTATATACATATTTCCCCTTAAACCATCACACTCCCTCCAAGGAACACCCACCTTTCGTGGGCCAACAAGGTGATGTTTAAAACCACCCAGAAGGAACATAACTCGGGACCCCTGGGCAAACCTCCGCCAGTCTAGCCGCGTCCTGGCGCGCGCGCGCCGGCTGGCCGGCGAGGTGGGGCCATTGGCCTCTGGAGTCGTGGCAAAGGCGCGCAGGAGGTTCCGGCCGACCTCGCGGTGCCACGGATCTCCAAAAACTGGGCGGGTGGTGGGGGGTGGGGCTGGGGTAGGGGTGGGTGGGGGGGGGTTGGTGGGGGGGCGGGTGGGTTGGGCTAGGGTGGGTGGGAAGCCCGGGTAGGCCGGAAACCCGCTTGAAGCCCTCCTCCCCGAACAAAAGCGAACAAACGAACAAAATAACTGTTGCCAACATTAGAATGACAGAAACGAACATCATGTGAGGAAACCAAGGGAGCGAGGACACCCAATTTACTGTAAGTTCCTTGGGTTCTGTGCTTGCAATACGGGCATTCACTGCAGAAAAAAGCTGACTCGCGCAAGAGAAGATCCACATCTGAAGAAGCTAATCCGGGGGAGGTGCTGCCTTGCGCCTCTCAAGAGATCCCTTGCAAAAGGCAAGTTGGTTGACAAAAAGAAGTGCCATTTCAGGAATATCTTGGACTTTGGCCGTTCGTTCAACCAACGGACAAGCCAGGTTGATCGTGCTTTGGCGATCCTGTATGCCAGCATGCAACCAGAATGCATCAAGCGCAGATTGATCGCACTTAACCGACTCGACCGCTGGGTTCACAATAGCTGGCGGGCTCTTAGGAAGGCGTCGCTTCTCGTGGAAATATGGCCATGGGTCAATACCCCGTACCCCCAATGAACATCCCAACCCCCACTAAAATAGACTAAAATGGGTGGTGCACCTACCCCAAAATGGTACTATTGGTTTTGACCCACAGCCATATTAAAGAACAAAGCGATCTAGGCTTGCTAAACTCAACAAGATCGCCAAGTACTTCCACATGATCGACATCGACATTGACGTTCGCATTCCTTGAGGATTGTCATGCACCTAGCGATTTGCTCCCGGCAAATCGCATCTTATCCATTCGAGGGGCCAGGCAAAGTGCCACCGCCACCAGCAGCATGCAGACGCCAATGAAGAGCGCGCCGCTCTGTACGTCCTTCTTAGGAGCGAATCATTTTCTCAAGGCCAATAATTCAACCTTTTTTCTAGGGGACACTTCCCCATTCTTTCAAAGGATCCTTCTTTTCAGAAAACCAGCAGAGAACGACGGTTGAAAACAATGGGGAATCAACCCCTAGATGCTTGGTGACTCCCCCTGCGCAGCAGCTGCTTCCAGGTGTTGCCAGGCGCGGCGTGACCACATTGGCGGACCAGCAGTCCATCAATGGGAATGGATTAGATGACCCCAACAAGTCCTTGGTTCACATTCACAACGGCCGGCCTTGGGTCACCAAGGATTCGTAAAAAGAAAATGCCGGATCAAAGCCTTCCCACCAATGTGGAGTCGCCAAATGCGAGCAAACAAGTCACACCATCTGCAGTGCAAATACCCCACCGATTTCTGGTGGTCATCAACAGCCCTTTTTCTGAACAGAAAAGGGGATCGCCATTTTTTGGTAAATCTGGCCCGAACTCCTCCAAGGTGGCTTCAAACGCCAAACCTAAGAGCCTCAGGTCATGGATGACTCCTCATGCCGCCCCAGTCAAGTTACTGTCCAACTTCCAGTCCGGCTTTTTCCACACACGGATTTTCAAGGCTCTACACATGCATCAGAGCCTAAGACCTTGTCGTGCAAAGTCTGCATCATTCAGCCTGGGCAGCTTTCCTTCGTCAGTCCCAAACAAATTTCCAAGGGGGAACTTCTCCGTGCCGCCAGCCATAAGCCACCAGCTCGAAATCCGCAGGGCCCTCCCAGAACACCTCATTGCCAAAAAGTCTGGCAGCAGAAATTCAACTAGAAGGGGAGCCCGGAGTGCCACTTTCTGTCGAAGCACCTAATCTCTTCACAGACTCGCTCTCCAAGTCCTTTGAGCCTGTGGCCTGTTCTCAACTATCCAATCAGTCTCAGGACAGTCTGTAGGCTGCCAATACATGGAGAAGCCTAAAGGGTTCCAGCGCTCCCGCTGCCTGCAAAACGACCACTGTGGGGGCTTGTGGTCATCGGTCATTGCCACTACGTGGGCAGTGGTCCCTGACGGAAGGAGGGTTTGGGTCTGCCGGCACCTGAATGCCTTTTGCGCTGCTCATCCTCACGCAGCCTCTGTCGCAAATGTCAAGCAAATGGCAAGTGATGTCAGGAAGCTGAGCATCATCGATTACAAGCAGTGTAGAAGGCGACATTCAAAATCACTTTTTGCTTTTAGGCAAGAATAGGAAACCCGGTAGAAGTTTTTTTTGGGGGGTGTTTTATTTCCTAGGGGCTGGTTTGTTCGTAGGGCTGGTTCAAAAAACACCGGATCCTAGGAAACCCTGTGAAAACAACAACTGGGGAAGCCTCTCCCACGCGCACGTGAAGCTCCTGCAGCTGGCCCGTCTGCCCGGGCACACCTCGGCTTAAGCCGGGCAAAGCCCCATGGGGCCCGCTTGGTTTTGGAAGGTTCTGGGGCCATTCGTCTCAAGTTGGAAAGAACAACCGCCACTCATTTGTGACCTGACTCGCGAATGGTGATTTGGAGCTTAGGGGGACTCTGCGTGCTTGCCCTTTGAGGGTTGGTTGGCTACTGTGCTGTAAACATGGTAGGCATATGTTTAAACATGGTAGGCATATGTTGAGACGTCGTGTGCTAGACACACCCGTAAATAAATGCGTGGGCATCAGGCTAGACATATGCAACCAAATGCTCAATAGACTTCGTAGACATATGCAAGACACAAGCTGTATGCTTGCAAAGGCCTGAGCGATACACTACGTGAAACAAGCTGACCCTGGCAGACAAGGCCAGAATAGAATGATCTAGCAGTTTAGGCTTCTCGGCTTCCCTCAGAATAGTGGGCCAGCCAATACTCCAATGCGATAGAAACATGATTGGACTGGCTCGTAACTGGGATTTGCACCATGACTTAAGGATCCCGAGGAGGTTTTGGAGCAGGCAATGATTCATTCACCCCACTTAGAAAGTACGTACGAAGGTTACATAAGCTATAACCATGGTCGCGGGAGAACACTAATCCCACTTACACAGATTGTAACCTACTCACCTGATGTGGCTTAGCCATCCAAGCCTCCGTCAATGCCCATCCAACCAAACATATAAGATCATATGTCAAAGAGAACCCCGTTCTAACGCGTGATCCTTCTTTCACCACTCACTTCCTGAGTGTGGTCAGAAACAGTTGCCAAACCTGTCGTTTACTAAAATTGCCCAAACCCAAAAAAGTGCAAAGTCCCGAAACGCACCAAGCGACCCATCCCCCCCAAATACCCCAGATCGCCTGCCAGCGGCGGCGGCATCCCCGGCGCAAAGGGCCGCGTGGGCCCGGGCGGGCGCTCGGTGAAGCTGGGGCACGCGGCAGCCGCCAGGCCCAGGCGCTTGCCCCTCGCTTTGGCCGAAGAACTTGAGGGACATCTCAAGAGGGACTACGCCCCCAAAAAACGCACCTAAGGGTATTCATCGCAAGAGGGGGGGCCGATTTTTGATGTTAAAAGAAAACGAAACACCCTCATTGCGCATCATTGGGCCATGCGTTGAAAGGGGAACGGGACCTCCGTTGAATGGTTGTGGACGCGAAGAAAAGCCTTTCTGAGGGTCAACAATGCTTTGGGGGGTTAAATTTAAGAACTGGGTTCCCATTGGCTGCCTCGAGCTTGGGTCATGGCCATGCTGAAATGTTCAGCTTCCCCCTGATTTGTGGTTTCGGTTGGTGGTTTGGAGGTTCAGAGGTTCAATCCACCACCAATCCAAACCACCAATTAGGAATTATCTGAAGGTTACCACCCAAGCCACTAACCCCCTAGGAACAATGGGTGTACAGGCATGTCACATGTTTGTGTGTGTGTGCACCATTGACACGAGCGCACATGCGAATAGGCACATAGAGAACGATTTACACTATACTGTGTACAGAACCAAGTTCACACAACTGTATACGATATGCAATGTATGCATGTATCTAATACACAATGTATGCATGCCTAGACTCAAACACAATAGCTATATACTTATACACACACACAAAGAAACAAAACAATTCTCCGGTTTCGGCTCCGCAGCTCCCCCTGAAACCTGGCCCGGTCGTCTCGGGGCCCGTGCTGAGTGTCGAAGACCAGGTGCTGGTCGATCATAAAGGTGGCGCCCAGCACCTAAGACAAAAAGAACTTGTTTCCAGGCAAAATCTACTAAGTCTCAACTTTGCCCCTCGTGCGTATCCCGGTATATTTTGCCTAAGGAGAATACGGGGTATGTAAGGGGTGTCCGAGTGCAACAAATTTGCCTAGATTGTTAGGGAGAGCTGGGTTTGACAGAGGGGGGCAACAGGTCAAAGTTCAAGCAAGGAATTGGACCGCGGGTTCTAGTCCTTCCATGAATCCAGGGCAACCCATGTTGGGGTACCCTACTTTTGACCCCCACCCATACTTCACGATCAAAACCGAAACCCACAAAACCAAACGGGAGATCATCTAACCTTCACCCAGGCATTGAGTATGGCTCATTCGACCCCGCTGTCGAGCTGAGTGCGGACAACCCGAGTTGGAAGGCAGCTTGGGGTTGATTCCATAGTTTCGACGGAAAACCAACCTTGCAAAAAGGGGAGAGGGGAAAATGGTCCGAAAGGCGGAACAAGGGGTCTGGGTGTGTGACTATAGAAATACGAGCCAGTGCAAGGAAAGTCGTTTTACCTGGGTGACTTCGACGTAGACAAATGATTCCAGGATACTCTCATGAATTCTGCACTTGATCCCTATGATCCAAATATGCTTCAGGGTCGCATTCCATATGCGTGCCTGGCGAAAGTGGTTTGGAGATGGCATGATGTGTCCGAGTGCCAAGGTGCGGTTTCCTGCACCCCGCCGTTGCTCTCGAAGCCCAGGCAATGCATATTGCTGGTGCGGCTGTAGAGGTAGGAACTCGGGCCCCAGCTCCTGAGTGACCAGGGTCCTTTGGCCACTCAAAGGCGGGGCCCAGTTTTTCCAACCTGTTTTTGGACCACAAAGTCCAGAGGTGTTTGAAAACCAGGTTGTGGGGCTGGAAAAGCAGGGCCACTTTTTGGGCTGGATCCAACCCCAAAACGGTCCCACAGCTTCTCCTCCCGCTGTGGGTATGAATGTTAATGTTATTTGGAGGATGCGTGGTCCACATCCTTTCCATACGGCGTGCATGTCCAACAATGTTGGTTCGATTCCCTGCGTTGGCTTCCTGCGAACATCATTCCAAGACAGCGTCTGTAGTTTTTGGCTTGACACAACGCCACGCGAGTAATTAGCAAACAGCCAAGACGTTTGGCAATTCTCCAATAAATACCGCAGCGCTACCAGCAGCATAAAACAACTCTGCTAGCCTGGCCCGAAAGGATACAAATACTTGGCACTTCCATGCAAGTCTTCTGGACTCTGGGAAGAGGCATCCTTGACTTTGACCACGAAAGGTTTGAGCGTCCTTTTGCGAAAGAGATCGTGGAACGCACAAAACAGCGAAATGCAAGGAATCGAAACAAACTACACCCGTCAGCGGGCAGCCAAGTAAGCTTGCCAACCCAACAATGTTTGAATGAGATCAGACTTTCCTGATCACGGATGAAACGGCTCATCATGGATTGTCGCGTGCAATGCCCGTTGGCAAAACAAAAAAACACCCATACCCCAGTGAGGCTAGTACTTAGACTGGAGGAAGTTGTGTGTCTGTGTCTCAGTGTTGACGTGTGAATGCGCGAGACTCGCCAAGGGTCAAGGGGATGAATCGAGCCAAGTCTCACGACGGTGTCGGAGAGCGTCAGCAAAAGTTTTGGAAAGGACGACACCGATCCTGGCGCCCGGCTGGCATGTTGAAACACGCACCTCGGGCAAGTGGGTCATGACCAGGGAAGAAGGAACTAGGGGCGTACCTTTGTGAGAAAGAGGAAAAGGAGGGGGTTACTTGGGTGTTCATAGCTCGCACAACAGCCGCAAAAGCTAAATAGCCAGCCCGGAGAACAACAAACAACAACCGCCCCTTCCCCCCAAAAAAAGAAGAGACAAAACATGTTCTGACACCAATGGCCTTCCAGAATTCCAATTGCAACTCACAAAGCATGGGGGGACCAAATGAAAATCAGTCCTGTCATGCGCCAGCACTGGCTGCCAGCTTCCTGTCCGCAGGCCCCGTTCTTGCAGGCCGACTTCACCTGACTTCGAGCTAGTCAAAGCTCGGTTGGTTGGTGGGTCGGTCAGTCTGGTTGGATAGTAGCGTTCCTCCCGTTCGCTTTAGACCAGCCTGAAATGGGAAAGCTCGAAAAAGCCCATAGCCACAGGTCCGCTTCAAGCACACTAAGGGAAACATAGGGCTCTTGAAGGGCCGGGACAAACATAAGGCGAGCAGGCTCGTAACTTTGAAAGTGGATCAAAGGGAAGCCTCGAGTTGACTTTGGACAGGGCGTTGTGAACGAACAGGCGAAGTTCCTTCAGCGTTATCCCCCAAAGCCAGTGTTGTAAGCGTGCCTTGCGTCAACCTCTTCGCTTAACGTGGGGCCCCCGCCTGGTAGCTGCGAGAAGCGAGATGGGCCCACTCCAATACATGAGTTGCCTTGTGCCAAGGATGTTTTCTTTGGTGTCGCCGTCCCTTGTCACTTTCTCTGAACTGGGCTGTCCTCACGAGATCCCTGCTAAAAGTTTAACTTTTAGTGGGTTAAATGGAAACCCTCCACCTAAACCCCAAACATCTAAAAACCTAAGGAACCGGATGGCTGGGCAACGCTTGGCGCGAACTACCCGACAGCCCAGCTGTGCGTCCGGTCTTGAAGCCGAGAGGCCGAATCCTTCAAGCGCCGGTAGATCTGGTCCGGGAGGTAGGTGTACGTCCTTGGACAAGACCCACCATGCGGCTGGCGGCTGGCGGGGGGGGGGGGAGGCCGATGGCAAGCAACACCAGCCCAACAAGCCCAAGGAGAATGATCGGCTTGTTGTTTGAAGGGTTAAGCAGTGATGTATTAAGTGCGCAATCCATTGAACCTGCGTCAAGTTCGCACAATGATTCATCTTTGCACCCTTCGATTCACTTCCCCTTACTTCGTTGCTGTCCACAATGGACCAGTTGGCCGGCCAATTTAAGGGAAGAAGCATTGGAACCTATCATCGACGGCGTGTGACCCACCTACACAGTCCAACTCGTTTTGACACATGCGGAATATGGTTCGGGGACCTGAAAGATCAAAGCTAGGGCAACTAGTGGTGCTTTCCCCAAATTACACAGATGGGATGGGCTTGTTGTCCAGTTGGCCAAGAAAATGCAAAGAAACCCTGCCCTAGAGCAGACCATCCCAGCGTTTGCAGGTTGCATCGTGTGCCGGACTTGGCCTGCGCCGCCCCCCCCCCCAGCCGAGATGGACAAGTCAATGGGCCGAAACCCGGAAGTCAAGACACACGGCCAGAACTATGGGGGCAGAACCTATGCCCAGTCCCACCTTCGCCAGTTTCCGAACCAAAGCACAAAACAACTTTGCGAACGGTTCGACGCAAAACCGATCCAAGGTCCCTTCGTTCATCTACCAACACCCCTAAGATTCTCCTCTTGACAGGAATGTTGACCCAGCATTAACCAACCCCAGCTTGTCAATAGGGGGGTGTCCCTGGATTTGGTGGGAATCACAGCACTTTTGGAGGGGTTTTCCCCCACCCCCGTATGTAAATAAACTGTCTATGGGGTCAACATGGCTTCCAAACATCAGAACCGCCCCAAAAGCGTTTGAACAGTCCAAGTGATCGGGCAAGACGCGTCCCGGAGTCGACAAAAGTGTGCCCGAAGCCGCCTGCAGCATTCGACTCGCGCAGGAAACGATGGCGAAGCGGCGGAGTGGACCATGCGAATTTTGCTGGGTGCGAAATAGGAAGTCCATAAATATCGGACTAGTTCCCATCCCTTTTTGCGTTTCATTTTGTTTACGGGGCATCTGGGTGGGACCCTCTTAGGCTGCTGAGAATGGAACCTTGAAGGGACTTGACGGAAAAGCATTGTTGTTCTTCGAAGGCTGCCCTCGTTCACCTTCCATGCCTTGTGTTCGGCAGCTGAAAGCCATGGAGTCTGATTGCTTCCGGAGAGCGGCATGGATCGGTTGTTGGATAGGGTTCCGGGGCTGCTGGAGATTTGCTGGATTGGGTTCCGGGTGGCATGGAGCGGTTCTTGCGTATGGTTGCAGAGGGGTTCCATAAGGGTGGTGTGAAGCCCTGGGCTACTGTAGAAGGGTTCTGGGGCTGTTGGGGATGCCACCTCTCAGTCATTTCACTGCCATTTGTTTATCCATCCATCAATTTATGAATTCAGTCCATTTAGACCATCGTTGTTCTTCATATTGTTCATACTTTACCCTCTCTCCCACTAACATGGCACCTCACAGGGGGTCCCTCCAAGAGGAAAATCAACTTCCAGGTGGCTTTTTACAGGTGCCATGTTAGTGGGAGGAAAGATATCTGTATATTTCTTGGGGGGAGGGATGGATTTGGGTGCGGGGTTTTGGCGGAAGCTGCAACCATCCTCACCCCCCCTGGCAGGCGGCGGCCTGTGATCGCCTCACCGCCTTCCACCTGGATCTTGGAGAGGGACACACCTCGGCGCCCAAATGCCTGTGGCTCAAATAAATGTACCAAAATGGCACCTTGGTAAATGGAACCAAAGAGTAAAGCCTGCGTAACCCTAGCTCTTGAATTTTGAGCCACACCCAAATGTGTTTTATGACTTCTGGGTGTCGTAAAACTAGCAACCCTTCAACTTGACTTATCCCAGTGGCGGTTAACCATGTGGCTGTGGGTTAAAAATCTGCAATTGAAATGAAACCCTGGTTAATGGAACCAAAGGACTACAACCTCCGGCCCATATCCTGGTGGTTTAGTTTTGCCCCATACCCATTTTTAGACTCTAAAAAACAGGCGGGGTTCAAGACGTCTGGCAGCGCCCAGGGCCACCAACCAGAGCCATGCATCATGCCACTGGTATTTGGGTATGCGTTAAAATCAGGGGCCCCTGAGCATCGTGAGTTTGGTTGGGGCGTCACCTTGCAACCAAGCTGAAAAGGGCACCCTCAACAAAAACACACCCATTCATGCCAAATTGCAGCAGCGGCCGAACTGTCTGCGTCTCTGGCCGTCCGACGCTCATGGCAAACCAATCGGAATCATTTCTGCAAAGCCACGCAAAAATCCAGAATGTTCTGAGGTTATTGGAACGTTACTTTCGAACGCGCTCCGAAGACCCTGGCACAAGGGCGGTATACCAAAAGGGACACTCGCCTAAGGCGGGTCCGACAAGTGGCGTGAAAGCTGGCTCCCCTTTCTGCTCGTGGCGCAAACGCCGAGCTGGGGCTCCTTGCCATAAAATCGCTCCACCCTCATCGGGATCCAACGGACCTCGCGCGCAGCGGGAGGTCGGATCACCACATTCGAAGGCTGACTGCGTCGACTGACTGGTGACTGGTGTCCAACAACTAAGCCTAAGTTATAGCCATCCATTAACCCATAAACCCATTAAATTGGGGGGTTCATACCACATAACCTCACTTCTTGAGTGGATTGGCCCAAAAAGTAACCAACTTGATATTTCCCACTAAAATGGTCTTCCCAAAAAGTTTCAAGTCCGAAACGGAACTCAGGACGTGAGTAACAGGCTTTCAGTGGGGAATCAACCGGGGCATCAACCGGGCTGGTGAGTCTTTGTCCGATCGATTCGCTGCCTGAGCAGCAACGACGGTTGGTTGCACTATGCCGTCCCCACATGGGCCCCTCAGTCCGTTGCTTTCCCACTTTTCTAGGGTTTGATTCCAGTGTTCAGCCTTCCCTTTGGGTGGCGTTTGCACCAAGTCCAAGAGAAGCAAACAGGGTAATGTTGACCCCGGGTTGGTACTAATGGGGGGGTTTTCCCCAAAAGTGATGAAGACCTACTCAAAGGAGACACCATCTCTATTCATGAAGCTGAATAATTTCATCAATCCCCCCTCTAAATACCTACATGTTCCATCCGCACTGTTGTGAGAACCTCTCAAAAACACTGAGCTTCCCATTACACCCCCAAAGGCTTGGTTGCTGTTGACCTCTCTGCAAGCAATTGATAACTTTTTGTGGGTCCAATGGAAAATACAAACTACTATTTCGACCAAAAAGTGAAAGTCCCAAAAGATCCGTTACCAAGTAGCCACAAAGCCTCTTCCCCCACTTGCAACAAATATAGGCAGCCCGTGCCTTTAGCGCTTCCCAGTCTCTCGCGCTCGCCTCCTCGAGGTTCAAGGACTCGTTGAAGCCCCCCACGGTCAGCAGCCCCCCCTGCCGCGCCAGGCACATGGCGAAGGTCGCCGCGTTCACGTGCGTGCGGTCCTCTGTCAACTCACCCCAGAGGCCACCCCATACTGCGAATGCACTGAGTCCATGTCGCACCTAAGAAACCCATGGGCGAAACCCTTGTTTCTTTGGGTCTTGCAGGGGAATCGAAGCATTCCGTTGGGCTTCTCAGGTGGTGCAGGATTTCGTCCGTCGACAGTATGAAGGGGAGGGAGGTACTGAGCGCCTCCCATGGCCCGGATGGGAGATGGGGAGCGTCTGGGCAAATGGACACAAGTACCCCCTGCCATTTGATTGCTAGTAAGAGTGCTTCCCTGCAAACGAACAGAGAACCCGAAAACGGGGGTCCCTCAGCAAATCGTACCGGATGGGAAAGCAAGAATAGCCACAACAGCGATGATGATGCTACTGCTGCTGCTGCTGGTTGCTGCCTTGCTGCTGGCGGCATCTGCTGCTGGTGCGGGTCTGCTGCTGCTGCTGGCGCTTGTGCTGGTGAGTCAACGCCCACCCCGCAGTCAACGCCCACCCCGCCCCAAAAACAAACAAACAAACAAACAAGCAAACAAGCAAACAAATCAAAAAAGAAGGTTCATGATTCAAGGCCCAACCCCCTCTTCCCCAATATATATATATATATATATGTATATATGTATATATTATATTATATGTATATGCATTATAAACTGTTCAACCAAGCCCGGCTGCCCCTCGGCATCCTGAAACATCTCCTCCAGCACCGTGGGCGCGCCGCGCCGGCCCGGAGCCAGGCCCATGATCCCATTCGCCTCGAATGAAAGTTGCACGGATGTGGGGCGGTTTGGACTACCATGCTGAACCACGAAGGGCAAGATATGCCCACACAGCTTGAAATATAGATATATATATATAAATACAGAATATATACATACACATATATATATATATACATATACACAACACATATATATATATATATACACCTTTTTCTAGACACCCATATACCATATACTGTAGATATCCGTATGCTTTGTGGCCCTTGTAGCACTCGCAAGCGGAGAAGCAAACACTCAAATGCGCCGGTTTCCAGAGCGACGGTGGACACCTTTCGCACCGAAGGACTAGGTGAGCCTTTAGAGGCGAGCGAAGACTCAAGGATGGTGTTTCACAAAAAGGGGGGCCCCTAGTTTTGTTTCGCCTTGGCCTCCTTTAAGCCGCTTTTTGTGTGTGGGGGGGGGGGGTGCCGTCTTTTGAAGGGAACCACCCCTCAACCGGAAAAAAAAGAGAGCGATCCGAAGAAGCCCCCGACTCATCCAGGAATGCCCCTCCCCCCTCCACCCACCATCCAAGGCTTTGTCGGGATCTATGGTGGGAAACAAAACATCACAAAACGGGGGGTTTGCGGCCCCCCCCCCCCACACACACAATTGCAACCAGTGACCCAGAAGGCAGAGAACTGGGCCTCCCGAACCCGCGCGCCTTTTGAGTGACGAACAGCCGCGTCTCCAGAGTGTGGCAGCCCATGTGTACCTGGCTGCTCAGGACTTTTGTTGGGGTTTTGGGAATGAACCAGGCCGAGGATCCCTTCGAATGAATCAGCAACGTTCCCTCATTCCGCGCCGAGAACCGGCGGCTCTGGTCAAACAGTTTGATTCGCTGCCGCCAGTTTTTGGCCCTTGCTAGGCAACATGTCTTGGAAAGTCCTGTTCAATGGCAACTTCCGGATTGCCATACTAATCAGGGGTTCCCAATTTTGCGGGAAATCGATTCACTTTGCGAAAACCAATCGAATTCGTAGGGCGATTATAATCCAAAAGAAAACCAGTCTAAGACATGCTCCTAGTGACGCGCACACGCAAACTCAGCAGCTCCTATAAGCCGCCGGGCGCCGGCCCCGCCTTCACCGGCGGGTTCTGCTGAAACTCATCGCCCAGCGACACGAAGTCCGTGAACTTGCTGCCTTGGAGCGGGGGCTCACCGGGCGGTGAAATTCGCCGCAGATCGAACGCATTTCGTAGCCCCCATAGAAATTGCTTGGTCCCCAGGGAAAATTGTGTGGGTTTCTTGTAGGGGTTCCCACGAAAGGCCGCACACAGGAAATTGAGCGAGTCCCCTGGTTGTTTCTGCCAAACCAAATGGACCATAGACTGCTGGAAAGCTTGACCAAACCCACATTGCCCTCTCACACTAAGCTGGAACCCGTGGGAAGCTTCCAAAAATACAGTTCTCTCCAAAATGACCTTGACAGGTTCCTTGTCAGTGGGCAGAGTACCTCCAACGCGACAAGTCGCTTGGTGGCTCACGCTCCGCGGCTAAGAAGGGGAACCCAGAAGTGATCACCTCGGGGATGCGGGGATCCTTCATTTTTGGGGGACAACCCCTTGGGAATCCGCCTTGTCAACCCGGGGCGGATGAAGGCCCGAGGGAAAGAACCAAACCATCTTACAAGACCCAACCAAGCGGCCCTCGATGGAGCTGCCTTCCGTGTAGGACTGGCGATAGGAACATCGGCGATTCCTGGCGCAGGTTTGGACATGCGCAAATTTGCCAAAGGAAGCCGAAAAGGGACTCTCCCAAGCAAAGCACGAAACACCCCAAGCAAACAGCTAACAAACACACAACCCAGAACATATCGAAAGCTACTAAACGGACAAAACACATTGAAGAACCAACCACAACCCCCCCCAACAAACCCCAAGGAATCATCGATTCATCAAAAGAGTGCTTTTGCGGCGGGGTGCCTCCCTCGAGTCTCCCGCCCGCTACCCATCCCGCTGGGCTTCCGGGCTTGCAGGAGTCGCAGCCCTGGCCGCAGGGCAGCCACTGGGCGGTGGAGGACTTGGAGAAGTCGAAGTTGGCCTTGGACAACGGCCGTCCGTTTTCAGATCCCCCGCGAAAAGTGTGTCACGAACTTTTTGTGGGATGAATTCGGATCTCCCACCATGAAACCACCTCAAAAAGATCCAAGAAGCTTTTTGGAACCGGAGGTGTCACCAACATGTTTGGCCCGCGATTGAGGAGGAAGCCCAAGGCCCCACATCCCAACTCAACAAATAACACCCCAAAATGGGTCAAAACTAAACCACCAGGATATGGACCCCAAGGTTTAGTCCGTGTTTTCATTTACCAGGGCAACCTCTTTTGGGGGGCCATTTCTGACCCACGGCCAAATCCAAAGCGGCGGGAAGTCGGTTGGCCTTTTGTCCGGAGGCCCTCCTCTTGGATGTAAGGGGCCAGCCCCGTTTAACCACTAGACGCTTTCTAACCCTGTGTATAGGATAGGTTTCAACCATGGATATAGTCTGGGTTGACCGGGGTTGGTCTCATATTGCCACGTGTAGAACCTAGGGTGAACATCCAAGTTTCCAACAACTGAACATTACAGGGCCTTCTCAGGTCAGTTTGGGGTTTGCTTGCCTCACGATCTGAGCCAGGGTTCGATTTTCTTGTTCCCACAAGCACCAGGACATGGGAATGCAAGACAAACCAGACATGCATCCGGGTCCAGCCCGGACAGGGCAGGAACCAAACCCCATGCCGCACCCCAAAAACTATTCAAGATGTACCCGTGGACTGACCCTCAATGACCGGGAGCCCAAAGCCCCAAGCTACCAAAGTAGGGCTCCGCCCCATCAGATACGGGTGTGCATGGTTGTGTGAGTCCCCCCTCCCCCCCCCCTCCACCCCGAGCATTTTTGGCCTTTTGGCATTGTTGAAGCGAAACCAAAACGAAACAAACAGGTTTTGGTGGGGTCCACCCAAAACAGAACCCACCCGATTCACAGGGGGAACCCATACTAACTCCCGCGGCCACGTTGCATCCAGGTGGTGCCCACAGCTCTGGCACCCGCTGCAGGTGAAGGCGCAAATGGTGCTGCCTCCAAGCAGCTGGTTGCTAAATCGGTCTGGGCGAGGCCGGACAAAATCCGAAAATCGGCCCTCCCTTTGTGAAACGGTAAAAAAAAGACCAAGATATCCATCCCTTGTTGCCTTCGTTTAGGGGACTTTACCATGGGCCATTCAGCACCCGGCACAAGGTTGGAACCCTGGAGGAGACGGAATGAGCCAAACGAAGTCCTGACCTGTAGCTTCTGGTTTTGTCAAAGATGTGGTTCCCTTGTGCAAAACAAGCAATAACTTACTTGAAAATCCAAGGTTACAAACAACCCCCCCTTTTTCGGGGCGACCCGCCTGTGTCTGCGATGACCGATGTGCGCTGTGGCACCGGCGTGCCCACCTTAGTAACTTAGAGTTCAACCAGCGAAGCCACGCTGCGCTTGCGCAGTGGCGGCAATTGGAATTGACAGGGTTGTCTCATTTGGTCAGACTTGTTTACACCATGGGTCCTGTTTACAGGGTTACACCGAAATCAATGGTTCTGTTTCTGCTTCATAAGCATATAACATGGTCTTGGAGGAGACTCCAAATGCGCGTGGGGGAAGGGGGATGGTGGACACTTAGTGTCTGTCCTGCAACCCCGAGTGTTGGGTTGTAGGGTGCGGGGGGTAAAGTGGTATGTGAGAAAAAGTCGATATTGTGGATCCGTTGACATCATGTGCATGGGGATTCACGCGCACCAACCATGTTAGAAGGGTTTCCCATCAAAATGTGTAGCCACTCTCAGCGCAAGTGTTGCAAAATGGAGGGTGGTTTTGCGCGGATAGTTCCCGAAGGTGAAACCGCAAAAGACTCTTGGTTTGCTCTTGATTTCCCTTTCAAAATGCCCCCGACTACAGCACTCTTTTGGATTTCAGAATGACGTAACCCGCACAAGGCCATGGGAAAACTGGGCCTTTTCGAAGCTGGCAATTCCTAGAGCACATGCTCGGGCCCACCCACCCATGACCTGAAGAAAAGAGGCCAGCAAGTCGATGTAGTAGTACTGGTAGGACACCACATCTCCGTAGAGCCGCGCAGTCTCAACACCTTAGTCAGCGACGCTAGTCCTTCAACTGAACGCTGAATGCTCAACAACTGAAGCCATGGAGGTCTGATGTTGGCATGCTGAGAAAATATCAAAGTAATGTCACGCAAAACCCCTGGCTGCCGCCGAAAGGAAACGGAAGCCCCGCCCCCTAACCCCAAAGTCATCAACCCAGGGACCAATTACCCAAGTCACCAGAATATTGACTCAGCGGCAGCTAACCCCAAGGTCAACTCCTTCCAATGGCAGGTTGGGCTGCTTTTGTGCTCTCTGCTTCCCGCTGGCCGCTGCAGTGCGAAATCAACGCCATATGCAGCCCGTTAGGTCTACACTTCCACACGCTTAGTCATGGGTGAAGCAACTGAAAGCAAGCTGGACAATTCCGGGCGAATAACCAGAACTAAGGATCGTCGGTGAGCTCGTGTAACCCCCAGGTGAGCTTGCGCAAATGATTGCAACTGTCGTGTAATACAACTGTTCGAGGGAAAAAAAAGTGGTTTCCCTACAGGATACACCGCTTTACAAGAGGGTAGTCTACTCATTGATCTAAATCAGCTGGTGCAAGTGTCTGGCAACCCGGCCCAAGTGCATTCTTTCAGTGACCCTGTTAGGGCCCAGTTCAGGACTACTTGAGCCTTTTTAAGCGGCCGGCCACAGAATCTAGGAAAAACAAACATCCAAAACCGAAGACACATCATTCATCGCAGCGAGCTCGATGTACCCTCACAAGTGAGCTCGCGACTACACAACAGCAATGTATCCTTTGAGAAACTGGGTGTAGTCGGTTGGGTAGCTATGGTAGGTAGGCAGGCCATGAAAAAGGAAACTAACCCACTTGTGACCCAACCATGCAAGTTGGTCCCCCCCGTCCGCACGTCATTTCCCTTGCATACACTGCCTGGGGGGCCAATGTTTGTTTCATATCTTACTATACGCAGACAGAGGGAGAGAGAGAGAGAGAGACAGAAAGAGAGAAACTAAGAGAGAACAAGAAAAAGAGAGAGAGAGAGAGAGAGAGAGGGAGAGTTTTGATCTGGGTGTGTATAAATTGTGGAGTAGCTCCAAAATGAGTGTTTTTCCTTTTGGTGCCCTTTTTACAACCAAACCTCCAGAACGGCCCGCCCATGTGGCAGGGGACCGGGGAAATCAAAATCCAACGCCGGGCTGCGGTTCTCCGCGTCATAGAGCAGCCGCGTCCGCTTCGCTTCCGGCATCGCCCTCAGAACACTTGTGACGTGCAGATCTGAGGTCCCGCTTCACGTGTCCTCTATTTGCTTAGGGGTGTTGGTTGAATGAACCGCTTGTGGGGCATTTCCGAATAAAGGAAACCAGAGGTATGGACGCCAGAGGTACGGAAACTAAATCAACAACAGAGTGCCCGTTCCAGCTGCCAGGCTTGAAGGCATATGGAGGGTGATCACAAGGTCGGGTAAACTTGGGATGGCCATTGGTTGTAAAACCACTAAAGAGATTCGATATTTCCCATGGGAAAAGTTTTTTGGGGCCCCACATGAAATATTAATCAACCCCATATGTCAATTAGCCTTATAGTTCTGAAGGGTGTTTCCTTGGTTCTGTACTGCACAGGTAGCTGGAATCACTGGATGTGAAACGCATTTCGTGGCACAAGGGACACGTCTTATGCAAACCTCTGGGTAGGGGAAGAACAATCCTCAAGAGGCACGCCCCCTCAAGTGCTTTCCAAGCGGCGTCTGCACGCTGCCCGTGGCAGCCGCGGCATTTGACATGGCATCGCCAGGCGGCCAAGCTGCAAGCTGGACTTCTTGCGGTGCACTTCTCGCATGATCAAACGAAAGTGACGGGCCACCCGGCACCAAAAGCCTGAAAACTGCCAGGCAAGACACGAGGATTCCAAGCTTGGCCCGTATTCCTTGCACGCGGCCAATAATACGAGTACGGTGCAAGGTTTGGGACATGCGGGCTACTTTGGGCTCAGGTTTGTAGCTTGAGCTCCTGTGCCTTCCATTTCTCCCATGCTCAAAGCTCGATCCGCCAGTTGCATCGAGTGACAAGGCATCATACTGTGGACGAAATCCTGCACCACCTGAGATGACGATTCTCCTGGAAGTACCAACAAACAATGGTTTGCTTCTTAGGTGGTGCAGGATTTCGTCCATCAACAGTAGGACTTCTTACCCGACGCTGACCCAAACCCGCTGCTTTTGTCAAATGAGATCTTGGCAAGGCCTTTGGGGATAGAGGCGGGCTTGTCTGGGCTGGGGTCCGACGGTCGAGAGTGATCCCGAAGGGGCCATCATGGGTGAGCGCCTTTCCCCTTCAGGCCGTGCTTGTCCAACCAAGTGTAACTTCGGAGAATCGACATTTGTCCATGAGATAGTCCAATGACCCCAATATAACTTCCTGGGGGTTCCAGGTGAATCTGGGGGGGGGGGAGACTTGGGATCTGAGAAACGGCCTCCGCCGGTCAAAAGTGCCCAAGCCTCAGGAAGATGGCCGTCGCAGCCTGGGGGCTTCGGATGGCTTCGGCTTCGGGCGCGAGCGGTTTCCGCGGGTGAAATGGGTGACTTTTAATGACATCATTTGGCTGTGGGTCAAAAATAGGCACCCCAAATGGAGCCCTGGCAAGTGAAAACATGGACCTAAACCTGTCCCCTGATGGTTTAATTTTGACCCATACCCAATAACCCTCCCACCAATTGGCCTGGAACCTGACGTTGGCAAGGTACATGGCATCATTCGTGTCCACCAACCATTTTTGACGTGGTTCCGTAAATTAAAGTTCAAAAACAGCACCCAGACCGGCTATGGCCACAAGGAGGTCAGGTCCGTATCTCAGATCCGCACTGCAGCTCTAGAGATTGCCAGCTGCCTGCCTTAAGCAGTGCAACCTCAGCTCCGCCGTCGACACCATGCGGTGTCCGTCCCAAAATGGGGAAAGACCGGTAGAGATGGCTTCGTCATTGGTTTCTTGTTGGGTTTCCGTTCTGGTAGCCATGGTGCCAATTGGCTTCTGCTTCAAACAACTCAAAAAGGGTCCCCGGTTTTGAGACAGACTCATGCCAAGCTGGCAAGGACAACCTATTCTGCGCCATGCTCCCCTCTGAAAACAGGCAGGGACAGCTTGCAATTTGCAATTGCTCTGTTCGGCAGCCTCTAGACCACCTACACTAGTATAATGACATGGCAGCAGCCTAACCCACTTTGCAATGACAAAGGATCAAACAAACACCAAACCAAACATTGTAAATATGCTCTGCACCCAGTTGCTCTGGCCTGGGTCCTAAGTAACAGAGATAGGCGAAGTTCATCTTATCCTTAGTTGGCGGCTTGCATTCGGTGACTAGAACTTGAACAGCTTTGTTGCAAGCAGGGAAGGGACCCTCTGTCCTCCAAGCCGCTCACCCAACTCTCAAACAGCACCTGGGGCCCCCAGCAGCGTCCCACAGGTCTGGGCCTCGCTAAGGGGGCAGTTCTTGGGCCGTGCCACGGCACGGGCGGGATGCCAAACAGGACCCATGTCCGAGAGTGCCAAACATGTGAACAAGCAGGCGTGTGTGTGTGTGCCATATGAAGAGCCACCCTTCCTTTTAAGGATTTTGTGAAACCCAAAAGGCAAGCCGCCGGTCACCAATTCCGGAGGACCCCCCTTCTTGATGCATTCCCAAACGGAATCCGCGCAAAACAAGTCCGCACCGTTCTCCTACGGCACTGCACCGAAACGCATGCTGTGGCCACCACGGGGGCGACAGGCGCCGAAAGCATCCACCTGCACACCCCAAGAGGGTTGGCGCATGCTCAGCAACCATTTTGGGGCTCGTTACCAGAAGAAACCTACCTCGCGTTCAAATGTGGCCTTTCCAAAATTTGACGTGAAAAAAGCAATCAGACACTTGTTCAAATGTTGCGTGGAAACTCGCTCGCTCGATGATTGTTCAAACTGGGCTGTCGCAGTCCACATGTCCAACGTATCTATCGGGCTGAGGCAAAATATTCCAAGAAAATGCAACGCCGGGCCGAGCACCGCAAATCAGAAGGTACTACACCCAAAATCGGAGGAAAAAATGAAGGCCCGTACAGTCAGAAGGTACTGCACCCAAGCTCGGAGGAAAAAGAGCAAGGCGCAGAGGCCCATACAAAGTTGGCTTCACCCACATGGAGTCTTAGACCTCCCCTGGCCCAACAGGGTTTCGACAGAAGAGCCCCCCGAAATGAGTTGCTTTGGTTTCCCCTTGGAACGAGCAAAAAGAACAACCTCAAAAAATAGGCCCAAACACGTCGTTTCGCGGGAAGTGTAATGAGTCTCTCATGGCCCTCCCAAATGCAACAAATTAACTTCGTGCATCCCAGATACCATTGGGAAACCAACCTTTTTCAGCTGTTTTGGAAGGGCGGTTCCCTTGGTCATCTGGAGACTCCCCGGTAAATTGAATCACTGGGAGCGACAACTGGTTGCCCCCTGGTTTGTATGGACAGTGGGTTGACCAAATGAAGATTGGATATGTTGACCGAATCTCAACTGGGCTGTCCTCAGATCCCCTGCCAACAGTTTGGCCTCGGAAACCCAACCACTAAGCCAACTAAAAAGATCTAAAAAGCTAAGGAACCGGATGGCTGCAAACCCATCTGAAATGAACCTCCGGAGTTGGCAAATGCCCCGCCTCACGCTTCGAGATGATTTGAGACGCGATCGAGGACTGGCCGTGGCGCGCAAAGGGTGGAAAAGCTGAGCCGAGCAGATCTCTGGGAGCTCAAAACTGGACCAACCATTGGAGAACCTGGACCAAAAACTCTTGGTCCATCGCAACATCACCCTCTGAATGGTGGGTCCAAGGGACAACAACCACCAAAATATTTTCCGAGAACCCCTCAAAAGCCAATCACTTGACAGAAGGGGGCATGTTTGACAACCGATCTATTTGCTCAACAAACCAATCTCTTTTCAAGAGACCTGCACCAGGGTGCAAGCAAATGGCACATGATCCTGTTCTTCTCTTTTTCGCTCTTTCTCCCTCTCTCTCTCTCTCTCTCTCTCTCGCTCTCTCTCTCCCTGCGCGCTATTCTTCTTTGTGTGGGTAAATTGGATGACTAAACCACCATGTCGGAATTGTGCCATCTATCTGTGCCCAACTGCACTGGGTGTTGTGAATAGAGGGCCTGGACGAAAGGCACAAATGCATTCGCGTGGGGCTTTTTCCGGGAAAACTGAAAATATCATGGCTCCACAAGGAACCCCACAAAAAAAAGGCGCCAAAACGCGCCGAGGCGGGCGGCCAAAGCGCTCCACAGCAGTGAGCCCCTGGGGCACGGCACCTGAACGCGAAAACTCGATGGCGTTCGCACCTTTGGCCTCCCAAAACGGGAGGAAGTTGCCGCTGCCCAACTACCAACTAACATGAACCTGACCGCGGGGTCTTAGAAGACGACTTTCCTCTAAAAGGCGCCTTCTCCCGATAGTTTGCGGGGGATTGAGTGGGTGTCAAGTCAGGGCTCCCAATATTTCTTTGTAAAAAAACATCACCCCATCCAAAAGAAACTCCTTTAAGGGCCAGTAGAGGGGCTGGACAAAAGGACAGGGGCAGTAGAGGGGTACGCAAAAAACAACATGCCCCATTGATTGGGTTTCCTTTAGTTGGAATTAGGCATATTTGGGGGATTTACCACCCTCACTTGCTCACAAGTGAAAGGACGTTGGGACCTTGACTGAACGCAGCCATGCGGCACCGAGTGGATAGTATAGCCTGGTACATGGTGATTCGGAGGTGCTGTGACCACAGGTCCGAAGCATGAGTTGTACGCAAGCAAGCGTTGCAACGGCAGGTGCCTCTCTGGAAATTAGAGCATCCCTCTGTTGCATGTCTTTCCTCAAGGTAAAGAAAGCAAAAACGCAATAACAAGAAAAATATGTTCCAATCTTGGAGCACTACGCGCGTGCTGCCTTGTCAAAGCAACTCCTCTGAAAAGCAAGTGGACGACGGAGGCATTCCCTCCCCCCGCTAACAGAAAACACCCTACCCGAACACCTCCCCCCAATCCTCCGATCTTGGATGGCGGTGCCACGTGCCAAACCAAGCCTTGTGTAGCCTTGCGAAGAACAGGCATCAACACATCTTGAATGAGGAACGTCCCATCTCCGACCCTGAAGTAGCTGGACAGCTGGAGCATCCTTGCCCTTCGGTTGGTGCAGGGGACACGAGGCCAACCATTTCGTGGCTCCAGAATTTCAGGACACCCCGTTTCGAAAGTCAGTGAATTGGGCGCGACAATTAGGCTATACAGGATCCATCCAAAAACCATCTGAAACCAAATGCTCAGATCCAACTCAGTTGGCAGCCGGGTGATTTCACTGGCCGCAGCTGGCATTTGTTCTTCCAGGGGCCAAAAACCCGCCCGACATCTGATGAGTTGAGTTTAGTGTTGGGTTGAAACTCGCAAGAACACATTTCTGACCACGTACAACCAAAAGGTCAAGGACCTCAAGTACAATGACAACGATGAACAGGGGTCATCTGGATTTCCCCCTGCAACAGCTGCAATTTACTGCTGGTGTTCATTGAAACTGCCACTTTGGCTACAAAAAATGAACCTGGAGGACACCCCGGATGGACGAGCCTGAAAATTCCGCCCCCGTCCACCGGCTGCTTCGAGCATCCTCCCGAACCGGGCTGCCGCGCCGGCGTGCGTCCGCACGCAATCCGCACCGCCTGATCCGGGATCCAGGGTCCGATCCGCGCGGTGGAAGGCAAGCGGCCACATGGCGTTTCAATGGAACAAGGTGGCTTGGGTGTTTGAAGGACATGTTGGAAAACCACCAGTTTCAGGTTGCTTTGAAGGGAAAAACCATGCTTCCTTGTCTGCAGGATTCAAAGGGAGCCACAAATTTGGGGCCGGTTGCTAAGGAAAACGCCCAATTGTCCAAAAAGGGCACGAGTCCCAAAAAAAGTTTGGTAGGGGCAACAGCTCAATGCTGTTGGATAAAATGGCTACACCACATGGCCTTCGCAAGCCTGCTTGGAACCTTCCGCTAGGGATCTTTGAACACACCCGGTGTTTGCATCGAGGCCAAAAGGAGCCCTTTTGATGGAAAGGGACGGGCTGGATTTCCCAAAGCTGAGAACTCTACAGTACTACCAAAACCTGAAAAAAGGGAAGTAAACGACCTGCATTGTGGTGAGCTTGTTCTAAATTTGAAGCGAGCTCGCCATAGACTAGAGCTGCATCGCCAACTGTATCAGGGTTTAACCATCGGAGTCCACCCAAAGCTGCATGTCTTCAAGGATGTCTGAATAAGAAGGCCACTTAGATGTTCAGCCTGCTTGAAACTTAGCAAAAACTAAACCCTTAAAGCCTGATGCTAACCATGGTTCTAATTCACGTACTAAGTGGGTTGGCCATCCAAGAGCGCTGTGGGTGGTCTCTTTCTCGAAGACCCGCCATCCCCCCACCATCGCGCCGTCGCCATTGGCACCACCGCTTTGTCCTTCTGCAAGGCCCTTTGGACTCTCCTGGCCAAGAGTCAGGTGAGCGAAGCAAAGTTGCCTCTCGCAACCCACCAGTGGGAGGGAAAGTGGGTGGGTGAGTGCGTGTGTGGGTGTGGGTGGGTGTGTGGGTGTGTGGGTGTGTGGGTGTGTGGGTGTGTGGGTGTGTGGGTGTGTGGGTGTGTGGGTGTGTGGGTGTGTGGGTGTGTGGGTGTGTGGTGTGTGTGGGTGTGTGTGGGTGTGTGGGTGGTGGGGGGTGTGGGTGTGGGTGGGTGGGTGGGTGGGTGGGCGGGCGGGCGGGCGGGCGGGCGGGCGGGCGGGTGGGCGGGCGGGTGGGTGGGTGGGTGGGTGGGTGGGGGGAGGGCTGGCATTGCTTGGCTCGCATCTGTGTGGGGTGTTTTTGGGCCATGTCCGATACATTGCACAAAGAGTGGCAAACGAAAACAAAACAGCAACAGCCACAAACATCCCCCGGGGTTTGGCCCCTAGTGGCAAACCTTCAGAATGGGGACCCTTCTGTTGCCCAATGAACGGACAGATCAAGGATTGAACATCCCGGAAGTGAACACAATGAGCCGTGTCAACTGGACTGTGAGCAAGTGAGAAGAAAAGAAGTGACCTCGGAATTGAAAAGGAAAGGTGCTGCGATCTAGCTCGCGTTTCGGACTGTCAGCAAGTACAGATGTGCTGGACACTTCATTCGTTACCCCTTCTCGAAGGACCTGGAAATCAATGATGGTTCACATCTTGTCAGCTCGACTGAGAGTAAACAAGACCAGGGAAAGCCGAAAGGTTCAGCGCTTTGCACCACGTCGCTGGCCAGGAAAAACCAACCAGCAGGTAAGCAGATACCCCTTCATTGCTTTGGGATTGGTGGCTTGGGGGTTTGAACTGAAGGAGGGTCGTCCCGCCTCGTCAGCTCTTCAATGAGCTTGTCCTCAGTCTTTGACCCACTCCACTTCAGCCAACCTTCTGCATGTCAGCCAGACATGCAAATAAATAAATCAGTACATACATGTGATTATTATATATACAGATCTACTCATATGTATAGAATACATTCGTATAATTATATATGTATCTCGTACTAGTACCCCCACTAAACATGAGCAAAACACATGGAAGGCCAATGAAGCATGCCCCGCCACAAGATCCGGGACACGCCAACGTTCGGCCTTTTCGGGCGATTCAAAGGGAAGCCGCCCATTTGGGGAACTTCACCTTGGGAACCCGGTCGAACACTTTTCAGATTTTCAGGGTTGCGAAAGCGACCCGGTTTGTTTCAGCTCGCAGCTGAAAGCCGTACGTCAGTGGTCAGTCAAAAGGCACCTGCATGAAAAAGCCACACCAGAAAGCAAGAAAGATTGGTCTCATGGGGAAAAAGAGGCGGACTAAGTTTCGGCTCAACTTGTCAAGCGGTCAATGTGACACCCGGCCTAACGGCCCTTCATACTTTTGGCTACCTCCCGCTTGAATTTTCAAGCCGCTTCTTGCTTCCCTCGAGTCGCAGATCTCAAGCAAGGTTGCTCCAAACCCACGCCGAAGGGTGGAAAGCCGAAGGAAGCCATACCAAACCTCTTCTGGTCTTGACATGTTCGGCCCTGCAAAGGAAATCCAAAAACAAAAAACGGGCTCTGCTCTTGAAAGGCACTCCCAAAACGGCCAACCCAAGAGGAATTGCCTGGGCCCCCCGGTCTGCCCAACCCCCCCCCCCTCCGAGCCTCGAGCCTGGAGCCCTTCCTGGGGAGCCGCGCCTCCAGGCCGCTGGCCTCCAAAGCCAGCAGGTCCAGGAGGAGCTCTGTAGGCACCTCGTCGAGGTCCTGAAACGGGTGAAACCTGCGGTCGATTTTGGAACCCATTTGGACCAAACCTGAGTCAGGATATGGACCGCATCTATTCTGTAAATGGAAAAGTAATTACTACCTGCGGTCCGTATGGTGCTTTCATTTTTCACCCGTACCCCAATCGGAACATCGGAACCGGGCGAGAGGACCGCGAATGGCGAACAAAGATTAGACCGGTGGATGGCTGCGAAATCCAGACATCGCAGCTAAGAACCCCAACGGAATGTGATATGTGCTTCCCCCATGAAAAAGAGAATGGTGTCCACTTGGTTTGATAGCTGCTGGTGCAGGATTTGGTCCACCAACAGTAGGCTTCCTTGCCCCCAAGAAAAGAATGGCAAGGACCCAAGTTGAACGATGACAATCTTGAGGTAGACAATGGTGGTTCTATTGACCCCATTGTTTTAATGGTGGTTTGAACCCCAGGCATGCAGGTGTCGCTGGATTTCCCCAGTTGCAACTTGCTGGTGATTGAAACGATCGCCACTTTGGAGGTTCCGAAAAGGGACACAGTGGAACCCCTGCATTAACGCGTGGAATTGCGCTCTCTAATTTCGCCCGATAGCACTTCTCTGCAGCGTCACGTGGAATCCAAAACTACGATCCATTCAAAGAGGAATCTCCTTTGAGGGGACCCACCTTTTGGGCTCCGTGTTCTTCAGCAAAGGAGTGACAAGCAGCTGGGTGTATCCAAAATCCCTTTCCAGGAGGGAGCCGAGGAGCTACCAGGGGTTGCGGATATAACATGGTAGAACAATCGGTCGCCCTATCTGCCACTAGCAGTCACCCCCCAAATTCAAAGCATGTTTCAATGTTTAGGCAGTGCCCCACCTGCCCGTTTAAACATTCTTGTTTGCCCGCAAGCACCCGCGGGATTGCAGCTGGAACAAGAGTTTGGGGAAGGGACCCTCCGTCAGGTGCCATGTTCGAAGAGCCACCTTCTCCTGGGGGGCTTGGAAGTCGGGAGTTCCATATGTTTGTCTTCCTCGCTCACTTGCCCAAAGGGAAATAGAAAAGACACGTTGAGCTTTTGGAAACTCAGCGGCACCTCCAGTTGGACACTGTGAGACGTAGTCAGCTTCCTCAAAGCAACATTTCAGCGGAAAGCGTCCCATTCACAACAGGGATCTTTTGACTTTTGAGGGAAAGCAGCGAGCTTGAATCCGGGATAAACATTCTCAACTCCAGGTGAGCAGCACCCAAAACGCCTTAACTTTCAGTTCTACTAAGACGCCTATACAGGCGCCGATATACTGTTCCCCTCAACACCGTAAACACCACCTACTAAAATTGCCTTTTCTGCGGTGTTCTTGGGGCCCAAGAGAGAGGCGTCCATGACACCCCTCCACCTTCAGACTTGCCAGTCCTTCCGCAGCTCCTCAGTGCCCAGGCGCTCGACCACCACCTGCAGCACCTGAGAAAACCCGCGTTCCGCGCGGCCGAAACGCGGAACGAAAACCCTTGGTTGCTGTTGACCCCCTGCAAAAAGTGAATCACTTTTTGGGGGTTTAGTGGAAAACACTAGTATTTCCCACAAAGTTAAAGTCTAAAGATCCAACACAATAGCAGTCAAGAACCGGCCCAAGTGTCGCAACGGCAAAGCCAAAGAACAGTAACATATGCATATGTGGCACCTATTTCCCACTTCCTGAGCGGATGGGCCGAAAAAAATAAGTTCTGAGGTCTCTGTGTGCCACTAAAATGGTCTTCCCGAAAAGTATATCAAGTCCATGAACTCAGGGAGTGATAATTGTCCTTTGACCCCCACAGGGCAGGTTGGTATTCTATTACAGCAAATGGGTGCAACCCAAGAAATCAAAGGACACCCAAGCCCCCCCTTTTCCATCTTCTCACTTACCAACTGGCTAGTTGCCACCGTCGCTGCCACTTTCTCCGGCCCCGCGCCGGATACTAAATTACTAGCTCCAGAGCGCAGACGGCACTGACTCGCTAGTTGCCTTCTTCGTGCGGTCTGGGATAAGCATGTGTTGATCCTTTTTTTTCCTTTGTTTTATGCGCATGCCGGCATGCCTGGCTGTTGGCCAGGTTTGGGAAGCTCCAGGAACGCAACCCTGACCCCGCCTTGGCCGCAGCTGCCTGTGCAGCCTGTCGGGATGAGGGGATCGCGGATCCCCTTTGGAACCAAGAGGCGTGTAAGTCAGTCTGGGATGTCGCATGTCCCCTCTGCACGCCCGCGCTTGCCTTTGGTCACCAAAACTGGGCCGGGGGCACACAAAACCTATGGTCTCAAACTGGTTTGCCTCCTGCGGGTCCCCCTCCCACCAAAGCGGCTGGTATCCTTCTGGCTTCACCTAAAAACCAAAAGGCGGTTCCCCCCAAGAAAATGACACGGCCAAAACTATTTCGCAGGAGATTTCACTCAACTACCCGTGTTTCCCTACCTCTCTCTCCCTCCATCTCTCTCTCTCTCTTTTTGTACTGATTACGCCAAAATCGAGTATCCCTCCAAGAACGGATAGGTCTTCAGGGTTCCATGTTCATGCACCTTGCCGTACTGTGTCAGCCCCTTCACATACCCCCACCCCTGCCTGGTCTGGCAGCTTCCGGCGCCTGCAGCGCCGCTGCCAGGCCAAGACCTCCCGCAGCGCCTCCCGGCCTCAGAAATCGATTTCCATCGAACCGAAGCGAATCGAAGGAGCCACCTACGGACGGAAGCTGAACTTGACCCGAGTGCTACTGCGGATGGTTGCGAAATCCGCTTCGCACTACTTTGAAACCATGGTTGAAACCGTAGTTTGTTGGTATTTACATGAGAATCATCATTCCAGGGTTTCTTAGGTGGGGTAGGATTTTGTCCATCCACAGTATGGGCTGTGGGCCCCGGAAAAAATGGATGGCGTAGAGTCACAGGCAGTGGGCCTGACACCAGGCAGGGGGTCCCCCATGCTATCGCGCGCACAAAGGAAATGAAGGTGGCGAAACTAAACATAAAGCAGTAGGCCTTGAGCACGTGTGGAAAATAACTGGTTGTCTTTGAGGGTAACCCAAAACACCAGCCAAAAGGGGTTCTCCCTGCTTGGACATTCTCAAATCCAGTTCTTCTTCACATTCATTGGAAAACCCCTCACAAAAAAAAAGGAAGATCTAGTTTCCCCCGGCAGCACAACCAAAAGTCGCGTTCTATTTTTTTGACAGCCCGTGCCCTGTGAAACAAGCATGCTAAATACTTTACACAACCCAAACACGGACAAAGCGCAGCACCCCCAACCCGAAAGCCCGGCCGCACAAGCGCCACCCGCGCCGACCGCCGACCGGCCGACCGGCGACTGGGGGCGCCCGGCAGAAGGCCCAGCCGAAGAGGTTCGCCAGCACCGAACTCGGGCCAAAGGCCGGTGGTCCAAGGGGAAGGGTCGGGTTCAAACGATCCGGATGCATTATACACCACATTGCAACTTGTCAATGGTGGTGTCCATTTCTTTATTTTGGTGTTGAAAAAGCAACATGAATTTCAAATGGGCAAAATGAATTTCGTTTAAGGAGCCCTGTTCAAACCATGAGAAAACAAACGGGGTCAATATAACCACCAGTATTTACCTCAGGTTTTCAGCATCCAAGCCAATGGCACCTGCCTTGGGGGCGGGTGTTTCTTTCACAATGCCTCCTACCTCAAAGTGTGGGGGGGCTGCTCCCCAGTTCGGTTGGTTTAGAGTGGAACTGGAAATTGCATTTTAGAGGTGGCCCCTCCCCCAATTTCCGCTTCAATGGGGGTGGGTATATCCCAGATTCAAACCTTTAGTGGGATAAATGGAATCCCTACTAAACCCAAAAGCCTAAAAAACCAAATGGGATGGCTGGGCTCCAATAGAACAAGAGCCAACATGTTGAGAGTTCCAAGCCTCTAACCCTTGGAGTCGGATGAGGCCCCAAACTCCAGCCAGCGGTCGAACCACTGCAAGGCCAGCGTTGGCGGGTCCGAGGTCATCTGGCGGCAAGGGGTCGGGATATCATGGGAAGCCCCTGGCGAATGAGTCATGGCTCAGGAAAACCGCGGCCCATTTGGGGGCAATGGGGGGGGGGGCTTGCTTTGGGACCTACACGTCCATCCAATTTTCTGAAGGAGGGGGAATGCGGGGAATGACGCTTTTCTTTGGAGTCTCCTGGGGGGGACGCCTTCGTGAAACTTGCAAGGGAGTGTTCGGGGGCCATAGTTGAGCGGAACCTCCACTTTTTGGGGAAAAATACCATGGTTGTGAGAGGTTGCTTCCCACATCTGTACCACACCACCGCCCCCCTCCCTCCCCCCCCCACCCATGCCCATCTTTGAATCTTTGGCAATTTGGAAAACCTTGCCAGCAAGGCGATCACGGTTCCTGCCCAAACATGGCACCGCTTTAGTGAAAATCATGTCCAACGGCAGCCAGCATGAAGTCTCAGCCCAGTGCTTGATCACTCAAGGGCATGCCTCCAGCGGGCCCAAAATCCGCAAATATGGGTTGGGCAAGGGCCTCGACAACACAGCCAAGAAGTTGAGCAAACACGCTTAGGAATTGGAAGGCGTTCGGTGCGTGAAAGGTTGCGTGCTACCCTGGTAGCCACAAAAGACCGTCTACCCCGCCGCAATTTCACGCTCCAAAATGTCACCCACCCTTGTGATCCGCCAATGCGCCCTGTTAGCCCGAAAAGGTCTCGAGCGCTTCGTGCGAATGCGCGTCTCATGAAACGAACCCTGTGGCTGCGATACGCGGGTCAGCGAGCTTGGGACAACACCCAAGGTCTACGCGGATGGAAGCCAAAATTCGCTGACGTCTGCTACCCTCGGTCTGAAAGCAGTGGCCAGTGTGGTCATCTCTAACTCTGGCGCAGCAGCTCTGTCTGGGCCTCCCTTTCGGAGCTCTGACTAAAGTGGATAGCGTTCTAAGTGCACACGTGCATTTCCCTCTGGCCAGTTCGGAGTGGGAACCGCCCAAATGGGTCTGTGTCAAAACAGCGGGACACCCAAAAAATTGAATTAGTTTTCGTTTTCGGCTTCCCTTTAAACCAACCTGCAAAGGGCACTCAAAATAAGCCAAATTGTTACCCCAGTAACTCCAAAACCTCCTGCAACTCTCCGGAAACCTCCCTGAGAACTGCCCCAAACGACCCCAGAGCCTATCTGGGCAGAGACCCCATAGCTTTCAGCTGTTGGTGAAAAACTCTCAAATGGGTGTGGCTCAAAATTAAATAGGAGGGGCAAACCGCAGGTTTTGGTCCATGTTTCCACTTCCCAAGGCAACCCATTTTTGGGATTACACCTTTTTTTGACCCACACCCATATGTCCCATGTTGATGTTTTATATATATATATATATATCACCTTGTTGGCCCATTAAAGGTGAGTGACCCTTGGTTTTTGTTTAAAGCCTCAGCCAAGTTGGAGATCTCCCAGACTCCCTTAAGGCCTCCTCCGGGAGCTCCAGGTCCTGCACGTCCTCCGCGCTGGCCAGCCTCGAGCAAAAAGCCGGCCAAGCGATGCATTGCACCCCGGGATCCGGGATTCCGCGACTTCTAGGTCCTCCAGATTTGAGAGGTTAGAATAAGGATGCCCGATGTTTTTCTGTAGTCTATTTTAGTAGCGGAACCCTCCCCCCAAAAAAAGGGGTGAGAAAGGGCACCACTGGCGGACCTAGACTTGGAAGAGAAGGCGCCTCTGCGACCATCCACATGCAAATACTCAGGCTCCGCCATCCCAGGCCCCGCCCACAGAACATTTGCACACAGCGACTTGCAAGCCTATGCCTCCACCGGAGAGGAAAATAACAAAAAGCAGGGAGCCAAGTTGTCGGACTTCGACCCCAGCCGCCGCATTCCCGCAGGGGTCCGTCAATGGAGAAGGCCCGAGGCCTGAGGAGTGAGTCTCCCCCGCCCCGCGCCTGAAGGAGGGGCCTCCGGCAGACTGGAAAGGAACTGTATAGGAGCTTCTTTTTGGAGCTTGCCAGGGGAGTAGTTCCCTCTACAGAACGGCATGAGCATCGCTTGGTGTAGCATGACTTTGGTTTTGAAGCCATAACCTCGAATTCTTCAGCCATAGGTGCCCAAAAAATCAATACCCACTCAATTGTTCATAGGCGCCTGCCCCCCCCAATGGAGAGGCATCCGCCGCGCCTGCAAGCCATCACCAGCTGTCTGGAGGTGAAGCGAAGCACGTGACGGTCCTGCAAAAATATTCCGCGATGAGGCGCCACTCGTGAAGCTTCCCAGCACTGATTCGCTGCGGGGGTTAAACTAGGGGTGTCCGGAAAAATTAAACCCGCCGTTTAGGGTCATTTGAAGCATGTGGCCCAGATCTGTTTGCTTCCTGAACCTTGGGAAGCCTGAGCTGTTTTACAACTGAACATCCTTGGGCAAACTGCTATACTTCACAAGCCGGACATCTCCAAGCAAGGGACCTCATCATTGGGTGATGAGTAGGACCTCTGGACAAAATTTAAAATTATCAAGCCCCCTTTGGCTTTCCTTAGCATTACACAAAAGGTGGACTCACTATACATCAAGTTGACCTTGCTATAATTTGCCCAAATCCTTCTGATCATTGTCGAACTCGTGCCCCTTCCACCAGCATCATTCCGGTGGGAGCTACGCATTGGTGGGGAAAGAGGTTCCAACAGCTGGCTATGAAGATCCCCTTGTTGAAAACACTTGCTTTGCCGTTCATTTGCCGCGCCCCAAAACCTGCGAAATTTGCCCCGAGTCTGCCATGGCCGCAAGCTACATATTTGTCAAGAGTAGAAGGGATGGGGAAGATCCAGGCACACCAGGATCTGCCCTACCTGCACTAAGCAATTGATTTCCAACATGATGGCAGGCATCAAGTCAAAGTTTTTATAGTTCCAACACAAACAACCTGTCTCGACACATCTTTTGCACTGCCCCAACCCACCGCACTGCCCCGTAAAACTTTCCGAGTACACTTGTGAAAGTGGCAGACGTTTCTCCCAGTAGCCAAAGCCCATCTGCAAACCTCCAATTTGCGCCATTTCCTGCTTCTTGGCCCCGCCCTTTCGCATCGCCAAACAAGCGATGCGAAACTCATCTAAGATTGGGCCAAAAGATGATGATGATGATGATGATGATGATGATGATGATGATGATGATGATGATGATGATGATGATGATGATGATGATGATGATGATGATGATGATGATGATGATGATGATGATGATGATGATGATGATGTAAAAGCTGGCTTTGGAAAAGGGGGATAGGGACCCATGGGCCAACGCCGCGAGTTCGAGACCGGAGCGACCCGTCCGCCGCCACCAGCCACAGCAGGCGCAGCGCCAGTGGCACCGGCACCCGGCACTTCTGCCACTCCTCCGTCGAAAACGACCTCCGAATGCGGCGAATTCGACGCAAGTTCCCCAGAAAAGTGGCTGAGTAAAGGGGAGAACTAAACCCAAATGAGGGAGCTATTCCTCCAACTGTAAACCACTTAGTAGCTTACTAGGCAACTGGAGTCGCAAGAACGGATTGGCGCAAGTTGACCCTGCAACAAATAGATGGAAGGAGGGCCAAGCGAAACCTTCCTCTCCCAGTTCGACGAGCCCATCTCAAGTGCCTTTGACCTCAGCTAAGCATGGGATGAACTCAACATATATATATATATATATATATGCGTCAACTCAAACTGCACAGAGGCCTCTCTAGAAGGATGCCCCGAAAGGAAAAAGATAGGCGCGGCTCCATGTGAATCCACCGGACCTTTTCAGCCAGGGCTGTGGGAAATGACAACTTCTGTGATACCAACAGAAAGAACTTTCCAAAGACTAACCCCCTACAAAGGGGGAGATTCCCTTGTATCACACAAGTGGGGATAAACCCCTTGATCCCACAACGCTGGTTTCGGCGGGTTCTTTCGCCTCCAGGATGGCGCAGAGATGCTGCAAGGGCATCTCCTGGAACGCCTGAAGGTCCCATTCGAATCAGCGGACCCGAATCGGCGGGAAGGCGTGCCAGAAATGAGAGATTAAATGGAGCATTGACCTTTGAAAAAAAAGACCAAAAGCACAAATTGACCAATTGATGTTTGACTCAAGATGATCCAAACGTGTGAAGCCAAGAGGTCGAAAGGTCGAAAGGGTCAAAAGGTCGAATCGCTCTGGGCAAAAGAGCTGCAGTACCCTTCCAGAGCTCATTGAATCCTGCACCAACTCCCCCACCTCCTTCAAAGCATGCCAGGTGGGCGAAAGGATTCTCCTCACATGAGGCGAGCAGCGCCTCGCAACTGACAGACACGTGGTCCGCCCCAAGTGCCGGCGGACGCGACCCTCAAAACTTCCATCGGTGCACCCAACGCACAGGAAGGCCTGCCGCAGCGCATTCGGCGCCGCCTAGGCGACGCAAGCTCCGCTCTTCGTTTGGTCGGCTTCCACCTATTGAGCACCTGGTCTCAAGCCACAGCAGCAATACAGTATTCTATCCCATGGTCATGAGGTGTTTTGGTGCAATAGTACTTGCTGGGCCACCCCATGCGAATCAGCTAGGCCCCCACTATCCCCAGCCCCAGTCACAACCATTCTTGCAATGTACCCGGTGGATTGGGAGGAGCCTTCTGCTTCCCTGCTACGCGTTTCACCGTTCGGCCGGTTTTTACCTCCCTGCAATTGTCTTCTCTAACCCCCGGACTGTTTCTTACCCCTTACGACTCCAAGCCCTGGGGAAGTTAATCTGTTACAGACATATAGCCCATGTTACCCAAAACAGTTGTAAGGTTTCCCCCAGGGACCTCGTTTCCAGAAACCAAACCTCCGGGGTTGGAAGCCGCTTCCGAAACAGGCGGCACACCAAGCCAACGGGCGCTCCTTTGAGGCCCCTTTTTACGCTACTTGATGCTCAATTAGGTGCCAGAAGGTCCAACGCCTGCAACATAGACTCCCTTTTTCCCATGCTGTAGACATCTCCACGTGCCATTTCCATGCAAAAAACCGTCTCAGGAAAGGTTCGAGTGGTTTTTGGTGTCCACGGCCTTGCTTGACCCGGATCAAAGGATTGGGTTACAGGATTTTTAACAGGAAAGCAGCTTATTTAACGTCTTGCTTGACCCGGATCAAAGGGTTGGGTTACAGGATTGTTAACAGGAATGCAGCTTATTTAACGTGTTTTGGGGCCATGTCCTGTGGAATCTTCTGTCACCAAACCCTTTGAGTGGACTGATGGGAGGCTGGGATCGAACCCCCTCATCGACACCCTGATATGCCCTGCATGCTCATGGTTCACCTTCAAGCCCTTCATCCTAAAGGGGTCTTTCCTGTGGAACGCCTCAGGTAGCTCAACATGCAGGCAAATGTGCACACGCGCGCACACAAACACACGACTTACTTATTCAAATCTACCTGCCAGCTTACCGGTGAAGACATACATACATACCCAGGGCAAAAAGCCAAGCACAAACTAGGTGGCTGCTTGACTCACTGACTCACTGACTCACTGACTCACTGACTCACTCATGCACGCACGCACGCATGCACTGGCCCACCCACGTACGCACTCACACTCTCACCCTCACTCACTCACCTAACTACGTAACTACCTAGTTACCTAGCCATAGCTGGCTAGCTAGCTAGCTAGCCAACCAACCAACCAACCAACCAACTAACTAACTAGGCAACCACCCTCCCGGCTTTGCACAAACACATGCATCGGGCGAAAGCGGGCCCCCAACCACGAGCTTCCGCGGCATGACCTGCGTGCGAAACGGCCACCAAATCGGCGTCTCTCTGCCGGTTTTTGGACGGGGTTTAAGGGAACAGGGGGGCTTGGAAAAAACAAGCAACCCCATCCGAATCCCCACCTCACACTTTTGTTCTGTTCAGCGCCCGGCAACGTGTCCAACACCGGGCGTGCAATAGGGTGGTCTTCACATCCCCTTTTGCTTTCGGTTGTTTCTTGTTCATTACCCTAAGGGTCGTGACCCCTCCAATGAAGACCCCCGGACCCTCTAATGGAGAACCCCAACCCCTCACCATTTAGGATGATGTTCAAACCGCCTACAATCGCTGGGAAATGGGCTGGAAGCTCGGACCTAAGCTTATAAGGAGAGAGTTTCCTGCTTCCTGGTTGCCAAGGGAAGCGCCAAATAGGACCCCACAAGGCCGAACGAACTCTATTGGACCCTTTTCAAGGGGTGTCCATTCGCGCGGCGAATGGTGGCATGGAGGGTATGCAACGTTCTGCCAGCGGCCTGCAGGGCTTCGGGGGAAAGAGCGCACGTTTGCGCAACCTGCAAACAGGCGCCAGCGGCCTGCATAGATGCAGCCAGCGAGGCCGGCGGCGTCTGCGTCCAACCTGGGCGGTTCCATCAATGTCCTCTGACGTGGTACGAGGCAACAAGTCCGGGTCAACATCCGACCCTACACCTGGGATTGTTCATATCGTTTGATCAGCTTACCCTGAATGCATGGTGGTTGAACGCCTAGTCTTGGTTGAAATGCACGGCCCCAAACCAATGACATGTTCCTTGTCTTGACAGGGGTCGCTGGATTCTCCCTTGAAGTGTTGCATATTCTGGTGGTTTCGATTGAAACCGCCACTCTTGGAGGATACACAAAGGGAAAATCGAGTAACCAAAATGTTTACCTCTAGGTCTTACACGAAGGTTTTCCCTGGAACCCCGGTTTCAGGGAGCTTTGGGTGTTCCCATCGCCGAACCCAAGGCCCTCTAGGCTCAACAGGGGCCCCCTGCGGCGCCGCAACACTTCCGCCAGCTGCGACCAGGGTGCCTCCCGAGGGCGGAGGTAAAGGGCCTTACACCCCAGGTCAAGCACCAAAGATCCTCCAAAGACCTTTCCCCACCTCCAAAGTTCAACCCCTCCAATGGTCTCAGGCCTTAGTCTTCTTTAGCAACGTGCTTGTCACAAGGCTTCTTGACACCTCAACCGTTGGTGGGGAACTTGGTAGTCTGTAGGGTCATCGGGCAAAAGAAATTGGCCTGCTTGGAGGCTGGAAGATATCCAAAACACCCCTACGGGAAGGATGGCCCTCCCTCCTAAAACAGAAGGTTCGGTTTGGACCAGGCCCCCAACACACCTCCACATTGGAGGGGCCGGGGGGGCACAACTGACCTCAGGTGGCCTTGCAAGATGGCAGTTGCCAATGGGGTGTCTTGTATGCCTACGGGACCCTGATTTTCCATGTTGGGGCATACCCCTGTGGCCTTCTAGGAACCATGGCGCGGTTCATGCCCTGGCTTCCCTTTAAACCCTCTCCGTTCGGGGTTGCTATAACCCATTTCGGCGGAATCGGCGACATCCACCCCGGAAACCCACCTGCAACTGTGAGCGTAGCGCCTGGCGATGGGGTCGGTGTGTCTCCCAAGGCACTTGGATGACTTGGATGCAGGCGGTCAGTTGGGGTGTGAAACGACTAACCTCGGGCGTCAAGCCATGGGTGGGGTATACCCATGGTTCTAGGAGGACTGATCCCAATTACCCCCGGGTAGCACAGTTGTGACCTGAGTTGGCTGATCCAAGACCAAATGCCCGTTCCTGACTACCCGCGTACATGTTGCCGCCGAACCCCACGCCTGCGCTGTTGCCAGGATGATGTGCTCAGCCTCAGAGCTGCCGCAAGGTCCGGCAACAGCTGCAGCTTGCTCTAAACCACCCCTCAGGAAGTTAAGTGGGTTTTAATGAAAACGTAGCATCAACCTCATGTGTCAGAGCTCTCACCCAGCACCCCTTTCGATGAATAGCGTCCATTGACGCCGGCCCGAACCAGGGCAGGGGCACCAGCCTCCGAAGAAATGCATGGGGAAAGGGTCGCTGTATTCTTGGTTGACGTTGGAAGTGGAGCAAAAAATATTTTTTTAGCAGCTAAGTGGGGATTTCCCACTAAACCACAAAAAGCAAAAATGCAAAATGTTTCCCAACGACAACCATGTATTGGGGTACGCCCTCTGGGATGTTCAACCCAGTTGGTAAGTAGCTTCTAAACTCGGTCATAAGTTATCAGCATGCTTGGCTTCAGCCTCTTAATACCCGATGCACTTCTTAAATCCAAGTGCCACACCAAAAGGGTGGGGATCTTATCCCTTGAGCTGCTGGCATGGTCCAGCGGATTCTCCAATGCATCCTGCCGTGGGCCGCAACTAAAAGCCGCTGGAGCCTGAATCCAGGGCCTTGTTACGGCAAACAAACACATCGTACAAGCACAGTTGTATCCTGGGCCGTGCTCAGATTCCCTGCTAAAAGTGGTTGAATGGAAATACCCACTAAGCTCTAAAAAGCTAAAAACCCAAGAAGGCGGCAGAGAACTACCAAGTATAGACATACTTAATCTGAGCAAAAACACATGGACAAAGACAAGGGCAAGTGTCTTCTAGGAAACGCTACTTGAGGTGCGAGCTTTGCATGAAGTCTTGCAAGTGCACCGACCGCAAGCGGCTCTCAAACTCACGCTTGGAGTGGGAGCCCCCTTTAAACCCATCCATTTGAAGGCTAAATTTAAGGATATCTCTTTAATGGCGACTGTTCTAGGTAGAAGCATCATGCTAGAAGGGTCACCATCAGGTTTGGATGAGGCTGCTTGGGCACCCCTTGAAAGCAGTTCGTCATTTACTCTCAAGACCTGGCTGTAGAAGACAAAAAAAACAGTTTGTGGCTGGATGTGGGCGAAAAAAAACGCCAGTGTCAAGTGTTCAACCGCACCGCCATATGGCTGTGGCTCAAAAAGTGGTACCAAAATGGAACCCTGGTGGAAACATGGGCCAAACCCTGCGTAACCTAACCCCTCCTGTTTCATTGTGAGCCACACCCATACCCTGGGGTTGGGGGGGGGCGGCTTCCTGGGGGGGAGCCCGCGGCAAAAGGAGCGAGCCGCCCTCAGCTTCCACGAGCCCGCGGCGAGGAGAGAAAAGAAGATCTGACATGGCTCTGGCTCAAAAAACAAAAACCGGGGTCGCTCACCTTTAATGGGCCAACCAGGTTTAAAAAAAAACAAAAACATCAACATGGGACATATGGGTGTGGGTCAAAAAAAGGTGTAATCCCAAAGGTTGCCTTGGGAAGTGGAAACATGGACCGAAACCTGCGTAACCCCCCGTGTTTAATTTTGAGCCACACCCAAATGCAACTCATTGCTTTGGGAGATCCGAAAAGCCCCAAGGAATTTTGAGAGAAAACTTCTTCTTGCATGCCACCACTTCTCACATGGGAGTCTTTGTCTGGTTTCCCCAAAGAAAGGTCTTCTCCGCTGTTTCTATTTTAGCCCTGAAAATGCCCCCTTAGGGCGCTAAGCCCTGAAAATGAATCCCCCCCCCTCCTTCTTCGGCCCGCCGGTTTTGTGTGGCGTGATCCACCCTCCTCCAAAAACGGCCGCGCGATGAGGCGGCAGCTGCCGCCCAGGTGGGGCCCCAGCTTCTGCGTGAGGCGCTGCGCCTGGCACAGCGGATCCGAGGATCCGCTCGCCGGGCGAAGTTTCCATTCCGCGCCACCCGGTCGAAGCCATGGCCTCTTGGCATTTGTAGGGGTACACCTTGGTACATCCATTGGTCCAAGCCATGGCTTCTTGGTGATCTGCAGGTACCGCAGTCCAGGGTTTCTAGGTGCAGGAGTTCATCCATCCACAGAGGCTTCCTACTAATTGGTGGGGCCGAGGGCTCAGCAGATGAGAAATGGAAGAAACCATTCATTCGATTTGGTTTCCGGTTCATTGTCAACACCCGGAAGGTCATTCGCTGAGCATCGGCAAGAAAAGGATCGGTGGTTTGGAGCCGAATCGGTGGTTTGCTGGTGTTCGGGGTGGCTTCCCATTTGCCGTCTACAAAAACAAGAGGTTCAAATCCAAATCCAAACCACCAACCAGTAAGGCTACTCAGTAAGGTGATTAACTGGAGCAATTGCTTCAGCAAACAAGAAGCAACACTACTCCTAGAATGGCTCCGCTCCAGCTGCTTGGGGTCAATTCCCTTCTCCATATCAGCATGGTGGCCTAAGTGGGTAAGTGGATTGAACATCCAAGTTGCCTGGGCCACTTGCGCCTGACAAAGGTAAAAATAAAAAATAAAAAATAAAAACGGGCACCCTGAGGAAGGGTGAAGAGCCAAGCGCAATAACCATGCTTGTGCTTTGGAACGTGAGCTCCATGGTTATAACCTGCCTGCTGCAAATGGACAGAAGGAACTCAGCAAAGGGGTCCATCGGTTTGCCAAAACTCACGCCAATGACCAGTCAGAAAGTGGAAGTATTTTTGTCACCACGCTAAAGGGGAAGCCACCAAAAAGTGCAGTGTGTGCCCACGCGCTGGGTGATAAAAACAAAAAAACAATCTGGTCCGAAAACAGTGTTGTTAAATTTGAAGCTCCCGCGCGCGCTGCGGAAATTTGCCTCTCAATTCCAATTCAGTTGGAACAGGAAACCACGTCTCATTGCCGGAAACTGCAGGTTGGTGTAGCCAACAGCCCTGCAAGGATCCACACCATAATTGTTGACGCTCGCTTGTGCCGATCAAGGCACTGCGAATGATGTTGCTCCCGGCTCCCTGTGTGGGCTTAATGCCTTTGGACCACAATCGGCCCTCACTCCACCAAGCACATTGTCTCTGTCGAAGGCGAGGCTCGCTAGGCTGATGGGTTTGAACCTTGGTCCTTCAATGCCAGCCGGCGAAAGGCCGCGCCGCCAGCAGCGGCCACTTTGATCCAGACCATCATGCAAACATGGACGCGCACATGCGGCGATCAGCCAGCGCATGTGTAATTGCAACGTAAACAGCTCGGTTGATTGTCATGTTCAATCCTGAGCGTGAATAGGGGTCTCGTGATTTCCTGTATACTTGGCATGGGGGATCGAACCGCTGAGTTATCCAGCACCACCAACTCCCCAACTCGTCTTGTGAGGCCCGGGGAGAACTGGAGCGCGACGCAACGCGCCTCCTGGGGCCTGAGGGACAAGTCCGCCCCGCAAGCCTCTCAAAGGAACTGGACGTCAGGGAAGCAGGGAAGTCAGTGGCTTTTATCATCCTACCCCTACCTGGTGCTTCAACCCGGTGGTTTGGTGTTCCTCCGGGTGGTTTCCCATTTGCCGTCTACAAAAGCTGGGGGCTCAAAATCCCAGTCCTTCCCACACGATAGCCCGATGTTGCCACCAGGGCCCTGAGGGATTCGTTCTAAACACGGCGCTGCTTGAGAGTTCCACTTCTTTTGTCGAGTGTAAAATCCGCAATGTCAAGACAGGTTCTTGAAGTACGTGTCCGAACGAAAAAAAAGAAACAAAAGAAACAAATGGTGACCCCCCGGTTGGATGGTGCTTGCGGGGCAACCTGGGGACACCTCTTGAGTGGCCCTTGCTTCCATGCTGCAAATCGATCCGAACCGATTTTCAGGTTCCGTGGCTACAAACTTAGGTGTCGAGTTGCAGGCGTACACGACTTGACCTCGAACCCCAACAAGGGGTCCATTTTCCAAAATGAATTTCCTCTCCAAATCACGGTCGGCTGGCAGGTTTCCATGCTGCTCTGTCGGGGTAATTAGCCGTGGCTTTGCAACGGCGGGGTTTTTTGGTACCTGCGCGTGAGCAGGAGCCAGGACCAGCTTGTGATGCAGAGAGGCCAGGAAGCAGGACGACCAGCACGGGCACGAGGTTTGGGCATATCAGTCTAGTCGTGCATTGGGGAGGGACATGGGGCACTGGAGTTTTCGACCAAAGCCAGGCCACGAACTTTCCGATACCGAAACCACGCATTCTGACTGCTTTGATGGGAATGTGGCTTTCTCACAGTTCCAATCCAAACCACCGATGAAGGGCTACCTGATTACCTGAATAATTTGAGTAGCCGAATGGAGTACTTCAAGTCTCATCGTAAGAGAAATCACGTTTTCAGGTAGGCCTGTCTTGAAAGAAGAACCAAAGCCGCTCTCAACAAAAAATCCATACACCAACAAGCTGGGGCGTGTCTCAAACTCGGGAACCACCCCCTCTTATTCGGATGGTTAAAAAACAAGAAGCCCAAATGAAGCAGCTTCTCAAGCTGGCCTCCAGCCACTGCAGCATGGCCCCAGCGCTTCGGGACGAGACCAGGTCCTCCGGAGTCGGAATTGGCCGACGTTCGTTCGGGTCAACAACTTGCAGGGATTCTCGGGGCAAAGGGTTCGTATCAATCTAGGGGTTGATTTCCCATTCTTTTCAACCGTCGCTCTTTCCAAAAACCAGCTGTTTCACCTGGGGATCTGATGTTTTCTGGAAAGAAGGATCACTGGAAAGAATGGGGAAGTGTCCGATAGAATCAAGGGGTCTACTGTTGACACAGAATCTAAGAAGACCGAACCCTTTTTCTATAGGGGGTTGTTCCTCCAAACGCGATGAAGCCGCACTGAAAGGGGGACCCCCCCCCATGCATCAACAATCGTAACCCAGGGTTCCTGTTGCGTAAGCCACATGGACCCTACAACCCCCCCCCCCCAGCCCAGTTTTCCTAAGCGCTCACTGCCAAGCAACGCGGACCCAAAGAAAACTCCTCCAAACAAGACGGGCTTCGGCTTCCATGCTGATCTTGCGATTACGCGCCACAGTATAGGGGAAACGATTACCTCACTTATAACCATGATGTCCAAGAGCTCGTCCTGTTTTGGTCCTCGAAGATCGCTCAGCGCAGCTGCTTCAAATGAGGGCTCCATTCGTTGGAATCCCTGGGAAATCGACTACCCAGGGTGACTCCTTCCCTGCTCCTACTCGTCTTGTCTGACCTTGGTCTCTTGCGACCTTGGGCACTCAACCAGCCGAACTAGGCGCGTCCGGCGCATTTTGCGTTCTAGGCGCGTCCTAAGCGCGGAGACCGAGCGAGCCCTCAGCCGATGTACTGACTGGCGGAGCTGGGGTTCCGTCGCCAGGCCAAGGCTTTGGGCCCAGACACCCGCAGCAAAGCCTCCGCCACGCGGCTGCCATTTACCTGGCGAAGCAAGGCGTGAAGCCAGGAAGAAACCCGTAGGTGTGTGTGATCCAAGGGGAGTCCCCGTTTGGATGGCTTGAAAGGGCAACCAAAAGGAAACTAATTTCGAGAAACACGTGGAGAAAAAAACCCTCCCCCTTGTTTACAAGGGGGAACGCTATACGCCAAACTAAAAGACCAGAATGCTGTCAACATGTTTGAAGCGGTAGAAGGGGAAAAGGTATGCACCCCCAAAACCACTCCACCACTCCCCCAAAGGAAAACCTCTGGAAATTGATACATGAAGCTGATCTAGGTGTTGTTTAGGCTTTGTATAAGGGACATTCAAAGCTTGCCAAGGCGTCTTCAGAGGGTGTGGGTTTTGGGTGCATTGTCAAACCCTGGATTAAAATCGCTGTATCCTCTGTTGAGGAAAAAAAACATGCGCACAGCGGACAAGTGTGCATTTCAAGCAAAAACACGCAAACTCCCTAAAGGTTCGTTCTGGGTGTGTATATAGCCTTGACATCAACCTGGCAAGCGGTTGAAAAACAACTGGGGCAACGATTAACGCGCGCCTTGTCGACAAGAACTCCGTAATGATCCAAGAAAAGCATACAGTTTGCAGCTTGATGGACAAGACAGAAACAAGCTTCAACTTTGAGACTCCAAGAAATCCGAACTCCGCTTCCAGGTTGAAAGGAGGGGCTCAAAATCGAGCTCTTGGTTTTGCAATCCGGCGCTTCGTGGACATCTTCTGCCTACAACACATATGTGGCTAGGCTGGCGGACCCCCCCAGGCTGCAGAGGCCCAGAAAGGCCCCTGTGAAGCTCTGCTTCGCAAAGGCACAGGATGCCGCAAAGCAAGCCCAGGACGACATGCACAACTAGAACAAAGGCAATGGCTGCTTCATGACGGGACATAGAACCGACTCCAAGCTCAAGACCCAGGCTGCCCCACCGAACATTCGGATCCCCGATCGATTGGGATCCTTTCTTTCCATTCGAAGGCCGATTTAACCCGTTTCCGTCGGAAAAGCCTACCTTGGGGTTTTCCAGTATTCTTGTTGGCCTGCACCTAAGACCAGGGGCTTCTCGTTTAAGAAGCCTACCTTGTCAACCAGTGGAACCCATCCCGGGCCGCCTTCCGCGGCCGCGGCCTCCGCAGCGGCTGCCCGACCTCCGCCCAGGGCCCTCCCTCCAGGGCCCCGGGGGAGGGCCCCCCGGCCAGCGCGCACGCGCAAAGGTTTCAGGAGATCCCGGGCGTGGGCTCCAAAAGTGAAGATGCGCCCAGGGTGGGAGCTGGGAGGTTCAACCCCCACCACCCCAACCCCTGGCTTAAACATCCATAGAAAACGTGCTCAACTCCTTGCGTAAACCTTTTGTTGGATTCTTAATGGGCTGGTTGTTTTTGCCAAACTATGGTTGAACAGGCAGCCCCCTTCCGGTTCTGAGGTGGGCCAAGGGGAGTTAATTTTGCAGTTCTCTGCCAACTGCCGAGCGTCGAGCCTTTAGGTTTCTCCCTCAATCATGGCAGGCTCAAGGCCCATGAAGAATGAAGGTTCCTTTCCGGGTCCCTTCTTTCAGGTCCTTTTCCGGGCCCGCGATAGAAAGTTATAACCATGGTTATGAGGGAATCTATCCCCAATCACCCAGGTATGATCAGCCCTGGTGCGCCCCCTCCCATCTCCCGTTTGGCTGCCCAGCCGGGTACATCTCCTCGTCCCGCCGGGTGTGGCCGCAGCGCGAATTCATCTCCTTGCCCGAAACGGAAGCCGAAACACTGCCTCGTTGGGTACCCGCTGCCTTCCGGCTTTTCGAAGATGAAAAGCGGAACGGAGGCCTTTTCTAAGCAGACTCTAGTCTTCCAAACGCCTCCTGGCATGAAACAAAGAGTAAAGAGGATTCATAATATATACATACAACATAAGGAACAAACACTTACCAAAACTGCTGTGCTGTTTGCTTGAACAAGTAATAGTTGCCTCTTCGTGTGGTCAGGTTCAAAGGGGAAGCCCCAGACAATACAAAAGCCCGTGCCCTCCATCCCGCCAACATAGCACCTGTGGGAACAGCAACTGTTGGAACCCTCGCCCCCCCCAACCCTTCAAGAGCCCTTCATGGT